AAATTTTACAGCCTCTGAATCAAGGGTTGACAAATGTCTGTAGGTGGCCAGATAGCTAATACTTTAGGCTTTGTGGACCACAGAGCTTCTGTCCAATAACTATTCAACTCAGCTGTTGCAGCATGAAAGCAGCTGTAGGCAAAACATACATGAAAGACAGCAGCTGTGTTCCAATAAAACTTTATGAAAACAGTTTGCTGATCCCCACTGTATAGCATTATATTATGAACTATATGGTATATCACATATACCACAATTCATCTACCTGTTCTACTATGGGACATTTAGATCATTTTCAGTGCTCTAACACAGACCCTGATGGACACACAGCCCCTTGAGGTCACCTGTTTGGTCCACCCCACATCACCGTCAAAGTTACTGTTTGCTTTTAGCAGCAGGTCATCAAAGGTCAACCACTAAACCCATGTAGGTTTTGTGGGATGGAGCCATCAATAGAAAATACCCCTGACAGGACTTTTTCCCACAAGATAGCCGTGATTGACAGCATTGAACCGCTTCCCCTCCCCGACACAGTGGCTGCTGCTTTAGAATATGTGATTCACCTCCTGGCTCTTGAACAGATCATTCCTTATAATGCCATCATATTGCCACAGACTGTGGTTGGAATGAGTTCAGGAATATGTAATTATTGGAAAGAGTCCCACCTGCCAAGAAGATAAGTTCAATTCATTGGTGAAAATTTTTTGTTTTGTTTTATCTTAACGGCTGTGCGGAGGGTGTTGACTGAACACCACAAGTCAGCATGAGGACATCCTGCTGACCGTGGAGGGCTGAGGGACAGAGGGGCCTCCCGGCCTGAGACCCAATGGAGGATGTACATGGAGGGGCTCTTCAACGGCTCCTCTAAGAACAGTGGCGATCCCCAGGGCCGTTTGTTTGCATGTTTTTGAGTGACAGGCATTTCCTTCTCATTTATGGCATGAGAAAGCATCAGTCAGGAAAATTAGTTCATCCTTTTAGTATTTAAATTAAACTCATGTTGAAAAAAGAAAAGCAGACTACAATAAAGATTCTTAATAGTGACGTGGCTCATGCTGTCACGGGCCCTCCACAGTTCGAGAGGGATGGAAACCCAAATTCCAGTGGCTCCAGCCATGGACACCCCGTCTCCTCAGGTAGTAGCAGGGCTGCAGCCAGAGGTCTCTGGGTTGGCCGAGCAGCTCTGATTGCCTCAGCGTTTCTAGGCTATTGTCCCCAGGTTGAGATATGAGGGTCAACACCGTGACCTGCTCGGCAGCCATGTTCGTGGCAGGGAAATGGGCCTGCCCTTCTGGCTATCTCTCTTTTTCTCAGGGAGCAAGGTCTTCCCAGAAGCCCCAGAACATACGTGCCCACAGCAACCTTTGAGCTGCCTTGGCCAGAATTGGTCCTATGCCCACACTGGCCAAGGGGTCCAGTGGGACGCCCGGCTGGGATGACACAGCTCATGTCACCCCAGAGCCTGAGCATGTTGCCTCTGGAACAAAATGGATAATGTAAATGGAAGAGGAGGGGCGACAGCTGTGGGTAGGTGTCCCCCAGGTCTGACCAAGAGCCTCGATGGCTATTAATGTTTATCATGGACTTTGGCGTTCAGCAGACAACCTGGCCTAAATGCTCAGCATCCGCAGCTGTTAGCTTTGTGATTCTGGACAAGTTACTTAACATCTCTGAGCCTCCATTTGATGATCTGTACAATGGGGGTACCTATTCCTACTATTGGTTTCAAGTTGAATAGCATTTAAAGTAACTACAAAGTACTTAGCTTGTGCATGGCATGCTGAAAGTGAGTTCTTGCCACTAGTCCTTCTGGCAGGCCCTGAATTTTATGGCTTGATTCTTTTTAAAAGAATTTATGTACTGGATTTATGGGAAAAACAAAAATAAAACCCACCAAAACACGGAGATGCTAATCTAGAAAGGCATCTGTGCCCTGCTCATCCCCAACCCCATGTGGGAAGGTATTTGCTGTTTTTTGAGTAAAGGGAGCAGTGGCTGTTCACATCTTTCTCTGGCTGGTGTGAGCAGGTTGGGGTGGCCATCACCCTTGCTGTACTTCTGAGCCCCTTAGGTTCTGGGGCATAATCAGCTGTTGTCACCAGAGCACAGCTCTGGCCACCAGGACTGCCCACATCATGGCCTGCTATTTGCCCCTGTGTGTCTCCCCTACCGCCTCCACCCCCCTGGATACCGGGTCTTCCCAGGCCCAGCACAGGCCGTGTAGTCCCCAGGTGCTGGTTAGGGGCCCATGCCAAGCAGCCTGGAGACCAGCCTTCAAGGTGCCCAGACCACTTTCAGCCTTAGAGCAAAGCTGGAAGGCAACAGGTGGAAAGCTCCCAACGAGAATGGGTGATCTGAGCTTAATGCCAGGTGCCACCACTTCCTGGCCATATGACCCGGAGAACCCGCTGGGCCGGGTTTCCTCACCCGTGGGAGGAGAGGAAAGTCTGCCCTGCCTGCAGAGCCAGCAGCCAGCACAGCTGGGGAGCACTGGGTGAGAGCTGGGGACAGTATGAGGAACCGGTGTCAGCCCTGCACGGTGGGCTTGGTGAGCACATGCCACCGGTCCATGGAGAGCCGTGGAGGACAATCCAGGCGTCCCCAAGACCCTGAGATGTTCCTCACTGTCCCAGACGCCTGCCCCCCACCCCCGAGCAAAGCCCCCGTCCTAGCTGACGGTGGGGGCTCCAGAGTCAGGTCAGCCCCGTCTTGCTCCATCCGTCACGTTCCGGAGCTGCCCCCACAGGCCTGTGGGCACACACTGACTGCTCCCCGGCATCTCCAGCAGCCGCCGGGCAGAGCCCCATCACCCTTTCACAGACACCCGGGCCCTGTCCTCTGTTTCAGGGCTCCAAAGTCCTGGCCAAGAAGGAGCTGGCCTACGTGCCGATAATCGGCTGGATGTGGTACTTCACGGAGATGGTCTTCTGCACGCGCAAGTGGGAGCAAGACCGCAAGACCGTCTCACAGAGCCTGCTGCGCCTCCGGGACTACCCGGAGAAGTACTTCGTACGTAAGGCCCAAAGCGACGTGCCTCACCCTCACCCACCAGCCCCGGTGCGCCCCGCCCCTACACCTGGCGCCTCGCGGCTGCCGGCCAACCTACCCCGTGCACCCTGCCTGCACCCTTCCCACTGGACAAGCCAGTGTGGAAGTGAGCCCTCAGGGTCTTTGGTCCCGTGCAGACGCACACTCAGGGAGCTCTTCTCATGTGTACACACATGCACACACACGCTCTCACTCTACTTCCTAAGTCTCAGGTGGTAAATCCCTTGTCTCCGTGAGCTCAGGCCCCAGCCCAGGGCAGGGGGAGGCGCAGCTGCCAGCCACCCCACCCTGGCCATTCGCTTAGGGCTCCTGTAGGACCGTGTGCAAAAGCGGGGATGGCCTGTGACCGCGGGGGCGTATGTGTGACCGCGGGCTGGGTGTGACCACAGCCCTGTCACTTCCAGTTCCTGATTCACTGCGAGGGCACCCGGTTCACAGAGAAGAAGCACCAGATCAGCATGCAGGTGGCCCAAGCCAAGGGGCTGCCCAGCCTCAAGTACCACTTGCTGCCGCGCACCAAAGGCTTCACCATCACCGTGAGGAGTTTGAGAAATGTAGGTAAGGAAGACCCCGGTCTCCCCTACCCTGGCCTCCCCACTGCGCAAGGAAAACCGAACCCAGCACCCCTGACACAAAAGCTTCTTGGCAGTGCTTCCCAGCCGAGTGTGGCTGGTAGCCAGGAGGGCCAGAGGGGACAGGATGGCACGTACACACCAGTTAGCCAGATCCAGGCACCTGGCATCAGCAGTGTGGCTGCTGCCTGCTCACACACACTTGCTCACACAGGGGCACAAACGCACGCACGCGCACACACACACGCACGTTTGGCAAGCACCGCCCTCTGCTGCTCAGCACCGGTATTGCAAGGCTGTGGGGACTGGGTGGAACCCCAGGTCATCACCTGATTAGCTCAGGTTTGCGTCGTTGTTTTGCTTTATTTGGCATTTCTTGCCCATTTTGGCACCAGCTGCCTCCAGATGATGAACTCTGTGACCTTGTCATCTGCAGCAGCTGACCCTCTGAGTTCGGAGCCCTAAATCACTGGGTAAGCATAAGGAAGGGACAACAATGATGTGTCTCCTCTGGGCCTGGCTGCTCTGTCTCCCTCATGCTCACTTCCTTTAGGAACACCACGCCCATGCTCTCCGCCCCTGCGAAAGCTCCCGGGAGGCCCTGCTGTGGCTGTGCGCTCTGACGCAGCGCCGCAGCTGTACAGCCTCCCTCGCGTCCTCTGGGGCCGGGCTGCGTCCCGGGGAGGGCCAACGGCCCTCAGCTGTCCTCTCCACCTTGGGAGGCAAGGGGCACGGGCCTCCCTCCCTCTGTGCCTGCATCACGTCAGGGACTGTGGGCCATGCAGTGGTCTCTGGTGGTGCCCACAGGGCCACCAGGAGCTTTGTGGCCATGAGGACCCCTCTACCCAGACCTCCTGCTAGAGCCGTGGGGCCACTGAATCTGCGCTTAACGTGTCCCCAAGTGAGGTCTCTTTAACAGGTCACCCAGAAAGGAGTCTAAGACCCCCCAACCCCACATCTCCTCCCACCCAGGCTACTGTCCACGTGGCCTTTGTGGCCCTGCCCTGGCCGCCCCTCGGTGTCCCTGCTCTGACCTTCGTCCAGCTGACTCTGGTTTCCTCTTGCCCAAAGTCTGCCTTGCTTCCTTCCTACCCGACCCCACCCCACCACCTCTAGTCACCAACTGCTCCCCCTGGCCCATGCTGCATGCATTGCCCACAGACATTACCATCATCATTGCTTACAACACCCAGCACCCACCATCACGCCAGGGAAAGGAAAGAAAAGCAGGAGAAGTTGCTTGCAGGACTGAGGTCCCATCAGGGAGGGCCACCTCCACCCTCCCTCTCCTCTGCCCATGCCCCCAAAGGAGCCTTGCCACAGTGGGGCACCAGCTGGGGGAGTTCATTTGCTCTGGATTCACCCCAAGGACTAAAACCTGCCTGTCACTAGCTCTCTGGCCCTGCCCACCTGCTGTGTGGCCCTCCTCAGCCTCCCAGACACAAGCTGCTTCCGTTCTGCACCATCCACCAGCGTCAGAGCATCAGAAGACCAAGCCATGGGTCCTGGCTCCTGCCCTCGCCAGCTGTGTGATGCTGGGCAAGTCACCTCACCTCTCTGACCCTAAGCTTGCTCTTCTGTAGAACCTCTCAGGGTGGCAAGGAGGGTCAAATGAGAAACTCCATGGAGCGCTCAGCATCAGGTCTGGCACGTCATGAACATCTAGCCAAGTGCTGGCTATTGCCAGGAGCCACCTGCTGACCCCCAGCTCTCCTCACCTTCCCTGGTGGGTGTGCCCAGCTTCTAGGTCTGGCTTTCCTCATATGGGTTCCCCCAGCGAGACTTGCTGACTGAGCTCTGCCCACAGGCCGCGGCAGGCAAAGCTGCCCAGGTCTGCAGGCCGTGCCGCCCCTGAGGGTAACAGCCCACGTGCAGCCACCTCCCATATGCCTGGAGCACAAGCCCCCCAGATTCAATGAAGCAAACTTATGCTTTTACTCCCAGTTTGCAGATGAGGAAGCTGGGGCTCAGAGCTAAGTTAAGGAATTTATCCCAAGTGGCTTGGCTAGTGCCCAGCAGGCTGGGATTCACACCGGGGCTGCCTGCCCAGTGGCAGGACTGGGGGTCTCCCATCCCTCTCAAGGGCTCTGCAGACAGACGGATTCAGTGACAGGCCCGGTTCTTTCACTCCAAGACCCTTCCTTTGGGGTTTCCCCTCTGGAAAAGGAGGGAATTGTGCAAATCACTAGTCTGGGGCTGTTCCTGGGGGCCTCTGCTGTGTGTGCCTGTCTCCCGTGCAGCCACTGGGCTGAAAGAGGCTGTCAACGCCGAACTTCCTCCCCAGCCTGAGCTCTGCCACCCTTTCTTGTTCTCAAACCCAGACTCCACAGCCAAACCCCGTACAGCTTGAATGCTTTGTACTCTATGCAATTTTATGCTTAAAATGCCTGGAAAATGTAAAAGCCATGGAGGTTATTTTCCATCAGCCTTACTCCTAGGGACGGCGAGGCCTCTCCCCACCAGGGGATCTGACAGCCTTCAGCCCCAGGCTGACTGAGGATGAGGACGCGGAGTGCTCCCGGTGGGGCTGCAGGGGTGGGAGGGCCTCCGCGGGGTGGGGGGGCACCCCAGGCACTCCTGCAGGCCCACAGGAGGGACCCTCTCCCATTGGCAAAAACGGACTCAAGCTGCCAGCGCGCCCCCTGCAGGCCTGCCAGCGCCTACAGCTGCAGGCCAAGGAAAGTGGGCCATGATTTTCTTACTGATTTTTCAGTCTCAATTCTTCATAGTCCCAACCAGACAAGAGGCTTTCTACCCTCCTGCGATCCACCTACTCACCTTATTAAGAGTAATCGCACATAGCAAAGCTCTCAGTGAAATGCCAGGCTCACAGTTGGTTGAACACAAACGCTGGGCCCTGTGGGAGGTGCTGACACTCCTCATCTCAGCAACCAGTGACGAAGGCCTCCCGAGTCCCATTCTCCAGGGGAACTGGGCTCAGGAAGGCTGTGACATGTGGAAGAGAGGGTCCCACGGGCACCCAGCCTGACTCCCAAAGTCCTGTTCTTCACCCTGCCCAGTCCTGCCTCCCTGACTGTAGGGAGTGGCCATCTGCTCCCGCCCCCAGCTCATTCCTGCATTCCGCCGTCCATCCATCCCCCGTCCAGCAAGTATTTGCCAAGCACGGACCAGGTCCCAGGGCTGCAACCGTGAATTCTGACATAACCTTCAGTATGCCGACAGGTCAGCTCAGCCTTTGGCAGGCCCAGGAAGTCCCGGCACCTCGTTTGTTTCCCAGCCACGTTCCACTGACTGCGATTAAATTCCTTAAGTTCCCAGCATCTTATTCTAGTTTTATAGGCATCTTATTTATCTAAGGGAAAAACAGTTATAAAATGGCCCTGCCGCCATACCTTAGATAGACCCTTTGACAGTATGCTTTGGAATGAATTATCCTACTATGATATTTGTTTAAATATTGGTATTTGATGTAGTACATCTAGATGGGACATTGCAGTACTTCTATAAACTCATCTGACTTCAGCAATAACTGTTTTCTATTACTAAGTTGTATTGTACTTTTCTGATTACAAAAGGTGGCGTGCGTTCCATGTAGACCACTTGGACGATACAGAAAGGCATGCGGCGGCAGCAGTAGTCCCCGCATTCTGATGTGATTAGTTAGCAGCTTGATTATTGTTTTCCAATGTGTGTATCTACAAAACAAAATTGGGTTCACATGCTATATACTGCTTTGTATTTGTTTTATTTTTTATAGTTTCAGCTGTATATGACTGTACACTCAATTTCAGAAATAATGAAAACCCAACGCTGCTGGGAGTCCTAAATGGAAAGAAATATCACGCAGATTTATATGTCAGGTAAGTTGGCCCCACTCTCCTTCCAGAAAGAGGGCACCATTTCCAATGCATCACAAATGGCCTTCCTCCAGGGAAATCTGTCAGATACTCTTTTGTCTGCAGTCCGTACTGAACTTATTCACAGTCTGTACTAGGTATTGCAAGGCTGTGGGGACTGGGTGGAACCCCAGGTCATCACCTGATTAGCTCAGGTTTGCGTCGTTGTTTTGCTTTATTTGGCATTTCTTGCCCATTTTGGCACCAGCTGCCTCCAGATGATGAACTCTGTGACCTTGTCATCTGCAGCAGCTGACCCTCTGAGTTCGGAGCCCTAAATCACTGGGTAAGCATAAGGAAGGGACAACAATGATGTGTCTCCTCTGGGCCTGGCTGCTCTGTCTCCCTCATGCTCACTTCCTTTAGGAACACCACGCCCATGCTCTCCGCCCCTGCGAAAGCTCCCGGGAGGCCCTGCTGTGGCTGTGCGCTCTGACGCAGCGCCGCAGCTGCACAGCCTCCCTCGCGTCCTCTGGGGTCGGGCTGCGTCCCGGGGAGGGCCAACAGCCCTCAGCTGTCCTCTCCACCTTGGGAGGCAAGGGGCACGGGCCTCCCTCCCTCTGTGCCTGCATCACGTCAGGGACTGTGGGCCATGCAGTGGTCTCTGGTGGTGCCCACAGGGCCACCAGGAGCTTTGTGGCCATGAGGACCCCTCTACCCAGACCTCCTGCTAGAGCCGTGGGGCCACTGAATCTGCGCTTAACGTGTCCCCAAGTGAGGTCTCTTTAACAGGTCACCCAGAAAGGAGTCTAAGACCCCCCAACCCCACATCTCCTCCCACCCAGGCTACTGTCCACGTGGCCTTTGTGGCCCTGCCCTGGCCGCCCCTCGGTGTCCCTGCTCTGACCTTCGTCCAGCTGACTCTGGTTTCCTCTTGCCCAAAGTCTGCCTTGCTTCCTTCCTACCCGACCCCACCCCACCACCTCTAGTCACCAACTGCTCCCCCTGGCCCATGCTGCATGCATTGCCCACAGACATTACCATCATCATTGCTTACAACACCCAGCACCCACCATCACGCCAGGGAAAGGAAAGAAAAGCAGGAGAAGTTGCTTGCAGGACTGAGGTCCCATCAGGGAGGGCCACCTCCACCCTCCCTCTCCTCTGCCCATGCCCCCAAAGGAGCCTTGCCACAGTGGGGCACCAGCTGGGGGAGTTCATTTGCTCTGGATTCACCCCAAGGACTAAAACCTGCCTGTCACTAGCTCTCTGGCCCTGCCCACCTGCTGTGTGGCCCTCCTCAGCCTCCCAGACACAAGCTGCTTCCGTTCTGCACCATCCACCAGCGTCAGAGCATCAGAAGACCAAGCCATGGGTCCTGGCTCCTGCTCTCGCCAGCTGTGTGATGCTGGGCAAGTCACCTCACCTCTCTGACCCTAAGCTTGCTCTTCTGTAGAACCTCTCAGGGTGGCAAGGAGGGTCAAATGAGAAACTCCATGGAGCGCTCAGCATCAGGTCTGGCACGTCATGAACATCTAGCCAAGTGCTGGCTATTGCCAGGAGCCACCTGCTGACCCCCAGCTCTCCTCACCTTCCCTGGTGGGTGTGCCCAGCTTCTAGGTCTGGCTTTCCTCATATGGGTTCCCCCAGCGAGACTTGCTGACTGAGCTCTGCCCACAGGCCGCGGCAGGCAAAGCTGCCCAGGTCTGCAGGCCGTGCCGCCCCTGAGGGTAACAGCCCACGTGCAGCCACCTCCCATATGCCTGGAGCACAAGCCCCCCAGATTCAATGAAGCAAACTTATGCTTTTACTCCCAGTTTGCAGATGAGGAAGCTGGGGCTCAGAGCTAAGTTAAGGAATTTATCCCAAGTGGTTTGGCTAGTGCCCAGCAGGCTGGGGATTCACACCCGGGGCTGCCTGCCCAGTGGCAGGACTGGGGGTCTCCCATCCCTCTCAAGGGCTCTGCAGACAGACGGATTCAGTGACAGGCCCGGTTCTTTCACTCCAAGACCCTTCCTTTGGGGTTTCCCCTCTGGAAAAGGAGGGAATTGTGCAAATCACTAGTCTGGGGCTGTTCCTGGGGGCCTCTGCTGTGTGTGCCCGTCTCCCGTGCAGCCACTGGGCTGAAAGAGGCTGTCAACGCCGAACTTCCTCCCCAGCCTGAGCTCTGCCACCCTTTCTTGTTCTCAAACCCAGACTCCACAGCCAAACCCCGTACAGCTTGAATGCTTTGTACTCTATGCAATTTTATGCTTAAAATGCCTGGAAAATGTAAAAGCCATGGAGGTTATTTCCCATCAGCCTTACTCCTAGGGACGGCGAGGCCTCTCCCCACCAGGGGATCTGACAGCCTTCAGCCCCAGGCTGACTGAGGATGAGGACGCGGAGTGCTCCCGGTGGGGCTGCAGGGGTGGGAGGGCCTCCGCGGGGTGGGGGGGCACCCCAAGCACTCCTGCAGGCTCACAGGAGGGACCCTCTCCCATTGGCAAAAACGGACTCAAGCTGCCAGCGCGCCCCCTGCAGGCCTGCCAGCGCCTACACCTGCAGGCCAAGGAAAGTGGGCCATGATTTTCTTACTGATTTTTCAGTCTCGATTCTTCATAGTCCCAACCAGACAAGAGGCTTTCTACCCTCCTGCGATCCACCTACTCACTTTATTAAGAGTAATCGCACATAGCAAAGCTCTCAGTGAAGTGCCAGGCTCACAGTTGGTTGAACACAAACGCTGGGCCCTGTGGGAGGTGCTGACACTCCTCATCTCAGCAACCAGTGACGAAGGCCTCCCGAGTCCCATTCTCCAGGGGAACTGGGCTCAGGAAGGCTGTGACATGTGGAAGAGAGGGTCCCACGGGCACCCAGCCTGACTCCCAAAGTCCTGTTCTTCACCCTGCCCAGTCCTGCCTCCCTGACTGTAGGGAGTGGCCATCTGCTCCCGCCCCCAGCTCATTCCTGCATTCCGCCGTCCATCCATCCCCCGTCCAGCAAGTATTTGCCAAGCACGGACCAGGTCCCAGGGCTGCAACCGTGAATTCTGACATAACCTTCAGTATTCCGACAGGTCAGCTCAGCCTTTGGCAGGCCCAGGAAGTCCCGGCACCTCGTTTGTTTCCCAGCCACGTTCCACTGACTGCGATTAAATTCCTTAAGTTCCCAGCATCTTATTCTAGTTTTATAGGCATCTTATTTATCTAAGGGAAAAACAGTTATAAAATGGCCCTGCCGCCATACCTTAGATAGACCCTTTGACAGTATGCTTTGGAATGAATTATCCTACTATGATATTTGTTTAAATATTGGTATTTGATGTAGTACATCTAGATGGGACATTGCAGTACTTCTATAAACTCATCTGACTTCAGCAATAACTGTTTTCTATTACTAAGTTGTATTGTACTTTTCTGATTACAAAAGGTGGCGTGCGTTCCATGTAGACCACTTGGACGATACAGAAAGGCATGCGGCGGCAGCAGTAGTCCCCGCATTCTGATGTGATTAGTTAGCAGCTTGATTATTGTTTTCCAATGTGTGTATCTACAAAACAAAATTGGGTTCACATGCTATATACTGCTTTGTATTTGTTTTATTTTTTATAGTTTCAGCTGTATATGACTGTACACTCAATTTCAGAAATAATGAAAACCCAACGCTGCTGGGAGTCCTAAATGGAAAGAAATATCACGCAGATTTATATGTCAGGTAAGTTGGCCCCACTCTCCTTCCAGAAAGAGGGCCCCATTTCCAATGCATCACAAATGGCCTTCCTCCAGGGAAATCTGTCAGATACTCTTTTGTCTGCAGTCCGTACTGAACTTATTCACAGTCTGTACTAATATCAAGACACCATTACGGTAAAGAACCAAGTGCAGCCTCCTCTCTCTTCAGCCACCTCCTCTCACCAACTCGCTCTTGTTAGAGCTCAGGCTGGACAAATGGAAGCCAGTACTGTATAGTCACTTTGAGACTGAGTGTGAAGAGACTATTTTTTGACCCTTTTTCTCAAAGGGTGCTGATTCACACAGATCCGAGCATATACGATGTAGAAGGAGGTCTTGGAGCAAATGGAGAACATTTTAGCCATCCCTCACATATGTGCCATATTCCAGCTTATGATGTTATTGAAAACACTTCAAGAGATATCAGACAAACAAGTTCTTCTCTATGTACCAGCTGACAGGAGGGGTCTGAGCCCGGCCTTCTGCAGTGCCATTGGGATGAGCAGAAAGCAGCTGAAACCGTAGAACACAGTGGTGATTCCACATTAAGGGCAATGTGATGGGGCTCTGGGACGGCTCGGGTTTCCCGTGCGGGAGGGTGTCTTCCCTGGAGGCCCACCAACACGATTCAACATGACCCATGACTGGAGAACCAGCTGGGTGTTCTAGCACATTCTGACCCTACAGACGCCATATGACAACTCGGCAATGTGAAACCACAATGGCCGGCCATCTCCTCTAGGCTGTGTGAGAAGCGCAACATGCCCAGAGAGAAGCTTTGGTGGACTGACTGCCTGCATTAAATTTCCTATCTGGAAATCACTCTGGTTGCCCCTTTAGTGATAGGAAAGAAGCATCATAATTATCAGTTTTTCTTTTCTAACAGTGCAGCAGACAGTCCACCTTATTACTCAGCTACAAGGCTGATGAGGGCAGAAAACCACCCACCTTCCCAAAGGAGGCCTTCTCCCAGAAGTCAAGTGGGGTTTTATCCCAGTTCCTTTAACGCCTGGCAAGAACTCTCCTCAGCACCCAGGCAGGCTCAGGTAGAGTAAGCAAGGCTATTTTACCTCCACAAGGCCTTTCTCAGGTAACTGCATCTCTCTGGAGCACATGTAGGAACCGGGGCATAAACAGCTGAAATGATGCCACGTTCAGCCAGTGAAGCCAGTTTATTGCCATGGCCTCGGAGGAAGGCTATTTATGCTACTGGGCACACACTTCTTATTGCAATTGCCCAGTAAACATGACAGAAGCATTTTCACGGTATACCTCGATACAACATCTTAAAACATGAAGGGCAATAATGTCAAGTAAGTTACTAAAAAGAGTGAAATTGCCTTAAACTCCCACCACCTGAATAAAGAAATGGTAGGCAGGCTTTCTAGCCCTCATCCAGAAACACACTTGGAGATCTGGTCTCCAAACCACAGTAAATCAGAAAGAGCAAAGAAGCCGAGTGTTCATGGAAGTATATGTAGGAGCTTCCAGGGTAACTTTTAATTATGTGAAAAACCCCTCTGTGCAATACACGCTCTGTTATCAGATGAAATGCCACCGTTTATTCCCTTAACAGGCTAGAGTGGGATGGATAAATCCTAAAAATCTATCTCATTACTAAAATAGTCCTGGGCCAGAAAGGGGAGTGAAATGACCCATGGAAAATCATGGTGAATGAAGAATTTTACATGGACAAAACCAGATGTAAATAAACATGCCTTAAAATCACAAAGCCAGCAACCTGAGAACAGAAATGTACATGGAACAGGACACATGGCCCAGACCTCCCCCTTGCTCAGGATGGGTTGTTTGCAGATGGCTGAGCCCTCAGCTGTGCCAGCCTCAGCCCCGCAGCCACCCTGGAATTGCTCACATACCACTGCTGAGTGAAGTGTGGGAGCCACAGAGCCTGGGGAGGGTCCCTGGCTTCTCCCATCCTGGGGCAACATTAGTTCCCAAGATATATTTTTTTTTTTTTTTGCTAAAATCCTTGCAGAAAGTTGGTCTCAACACTGCCAGGAGGTCAAAAGAATCAGTTGATAGGAGGTACTTCGCCATTAGCATTAAAATCATTACCTGGCTAAGGAAAGTCTTAGCATATTATTGCCTGTACTTAGATTCTGTGTATATTGGATTATCTCGTGTGGAAACTGAAGCAGTATTGCCCCCCACCCAAGGGGCACACATAGGAGTTTGGAGTCTTTCCGTGGGGTAGGAAGGGTGGAAAGAGGCAGGTGGCCCCCCCGCCCGGATGGCCATCCTGCCTGACCGCGGACCCAGGCCCTGGGCCATCTCTTCACGGGCCGTGACTAAGTCTGTGCCTCTATTTCCTCAATACAAAGGTGGATTTTCCCTCGTCACCAAGTGAATTACCCTCTTCACATCCACATGAGCTAGGCTATCCAAATGGAAGCCGAAGGTGGGCAGGCACTGTCGCCTCGGAGTGGTGGCGGGGCCTGTGGCGGGGACCCCGCCTGCTAGCTGCTCTCTGCTTTGCAGGCGGATCCCCCTGGAAGAAGTCCCGGAGGACGAGGACAGGTGCTCCACCTGGCTGCACAAGCTCTACCAGGAGAAGGTCAGTGTGCCGGGCGCTGCTCGGGGCCCACGGGCCCATTCCAAGTGGCCACTGTGGGTGCACTGCGGGGCCTTTGAGAGCTGACAGGGTGGCAAGCCTTTCCCACTGGGTGCAACCTCATACCCCAGTTATCAACCATCTGGGGCTGGTGCTCTACTGGCAACAGGGAAAAGAATGTAGCAGATGATTTTCTAAAGGGGCTTCTGTGGTGGACAGGAAGGGAGAGAACGGCACACGTGATCCTGATGGCTGTGTGGCCTCAAAAGATTGCTGGCACACACAGGATGAAGCCCTGCAAGGGCCCACCCTGGCTGGCTGGATCCCCTGCAAGGCACCCTGCCATCCTGTCTGTCGTCCAGCAACCAGGGCCCCCACTTTCTCTTTCCTTCCTCTGAGCAGGGCCTTATCCTTCACTGGGTTCTCTGAAAGACATGCACAGGGCACAGAGAGTCTGACCATTGCTGCCCTTCCTGCTGGATCTTATGGAGGAGAAAAGCTCAGCTTCCAGCTGGTGAAGAAGGTGTCTTTATGATCAGGTCTCATCACCCAGTAAAAACTTATTTCTGATTCATCATACGTTTTAAGCCCAGACCAGCTCGTTATCTAGAAGCAAATACATTAATAGGATTCTGATTTCCTTTCACCAGATTCCATAACTACAGACTGTCTGACCGTTGCTGTCTCCTCCCCATTCCTCTAGAGAAGATAAGTACACAGAATTTTAAGGGACCTCCGCTACAGTGGAATAAGAATTTCAATCCCACCTTTGAGGGTAGGATTTGGTCCAAACTACTATCAAATTACTGTGATCTGATTACATAGAGATACTTTTTATGAAAATGCTTAGTTTTGGGAATCCAGATCTTGATATACTCTGAGCAAGTTGCTCCTGTGTTCCCTATAATGGCCACTTAACAGACTTGTAGTTCCGGCCTCTGTTCTGGACGGGCACGGGTATGGGCACAGGTGTCTGGGCTCCTCTGACAAGCAGTGAATAGGGGCTGGTTCAGCTGCCGCCAGAGGCTGGGACCGAACAGATTCCTGGACCTCGACCTCAGAGAGCCTCACCTGGTAGGTGTGAGGGGGACCTAGGAATGCACATTTCTGGGAAACTGCTTCTGATGCAGATATTCTGAGGACCCATTTGGAAATGCGCTGCCTGGTGCTTTTCAACAAGATCCACAGTCATCGGGGTTCTGTGCTTACGCAGACCCAGACCTGACAGCAGAACACAATACAAATTCTCTCCCTCTGGTTTCATGCATGAGGCGGCGTTGTGTGCTGCCTTCTGGCTTAATCATTGAGGCAGTATAAAAATGTCAGTGTTAGCAAGAAGAAAAACGTGCTAAGAGAAGGCCTAAAAAAAGAATCCTTTTGTAAAGAGCCACAAGAACAAATCTCCAAGAAACGTGGGCTCCGAAAACCCACCCATCAAAGGAGGGTTTTCTCCATCAGCCCGTTCTCTCTGGGGCCCCAGGCAGGAGGGCTGTGGCTATTGTGTGCCCCCAGCCTCTAGGGCTCTTGGTGTGGAGGCGCCATTCCTTCTGGGAAAGTCTCCCGAGACTATGGACGCATGAAGATGACATGTTCCCTTTGGGAGGATCACCCAGTTCAGAGCTCTTGCTACTGATGAAGGAATTAAAGTCCAGAGAGTGACGAGACCTGCCCGGTCCTCCAGCTCGTTAGTTGTAGCCAGGATTGGCTGCCAGGTCCTTTCTCTCCAAGGAGGACCGGGGCTGTGCACAGACCCTCAAGGCTGGCCTGGCCCTTAAGGGGCAACCACGGAGCAGCAAGTAGCAGTGGTCACAGATCCTCCAAGAGGGGATGTCAAGGAACTACTGCATCCTGTGGTTTCTGAGCCAGCCCTGCTTTCTCAGGAGCCTGATGCATTGGGGGCCCCCACCAGGCTTGTAGAAGTGGGGTTCCATGTTATCACCTGTTGGATGTATGATGTCAAAGGACAATTCTGTTGACTTTGAGCTTGGGATTTTAAGGCAGCAGTTCTCAGACTTTGATTTAATGGACAAGGTTTCCACAGATGTGGGAGAGGGGGGTGGGCAGCAGTGCGCCAACATTTTATTCTTTCTAAGCAGGGACATAAGTAAAAAGATACCCACTCTCCATCAGTGTCATTTAAGACTAAGTCAGGAAGGGCGTCGTCTCTGAAAGCAGGCCCATCTTTCAGTTGAACAAATGGAGCCTTTAGACAGGCACAGCCCATGACTTGCCAGCATTTGGAACCCCCAGCTGGCTGGAGGGTGTGTGTGGGATTTGACAAAGCATTCACACCCTCACATGACTCCTTGGGGACAAAAAGTTCCCAGATCAACCCAATCTCACGTCGAACCTGTAGTTCCAGAAACACCTTTCCTCAGAGCTGTTGTGATTTCTCAGCTGTATGGCTTGAATAAAAAAAAGGATTTCCCTGGACTGTAGTTTGAAGTCAGCTGAAGGGATTAGGCATCAGCCATTAATGGCGCAAATTATAAAGTGGGTGAAGGAAGTGCCATTCTGAGCTGTCCTGGGGCTGTGGGGGTTCTGGAGGCTGCGGTCCGGAGCCACTCCGTGTGGCTGCCCAGCCGTGCGTGGATGGTGGCTACTCCCAGGTGCTTTGTGCGAGTGGCAGACGTGTGCTCAGGGGACTTGCCCACGTCCGTAGGGCCTCATCCTCCTTTGGACATTGATGCTGATGTTTCTTTCTGGGAACAAACCAGTTCTTCTTTCACCGAGTACATTTCCCAGTTCCGACTTACTGCTTGCCACGTAGTGATACCACGTGGGGAAACGGCAGCATCTCTAACCAGAGGCCTCTCCCTGCCGGGTGGACGGCACCACAAAGGGAGTAGCACCAGCCAGAGGGAGGTCGCAGGCGTTCTGCCGCTGGAGCTGAGGCCTGGCCCCCGCGCTGTGTCCTACCCTGCAGTCCCAGCACTGCAGCCCTGGCGCCTGGGAGGCAAGCGAGCCACTGCAGCAGCCTTGCCACTGGGGCGCAGCGAGGGACTTGGGCGACAAGTCATTTTCTAAGCAAACCAGATAAAAAGAAAACTTTGGAGTGAATATGAAGTTCTGAATCTGGCTGAGTCCCAGGAAGGGAGCGCCTGCTCTTCCTCTGCTGGAGGTACACATAAAAAATCTTGGCTTAGCAAATGTCTTTCTGGAAACGAGGTGAAAAGCCACCATTGGCTCCCCATCATAACATTACAATAGAAAAGCACTACCAAGACTATAAAGTAAAAGAAATCAAAAGAAAAGGAAAAAGAAACCTTGCCCTTGTTTAAATGGGTGCGTTTTATGGTACGTAAATTGCACTTCAATAAAACTGTTTTTTCAAAAAGGCACAAAAGCATCCCCTCCTTAGTCCAGTCGGGCTTCTGTAACGAAGTGCCACGAACTTGGTGGCTTGTGAGCAACAGAAATTTATTTCTCACTGTCCTGGGTGCTCATCAGGAGTGCAGGGCCGGGGCACCGGCAGGGCCGGAGCTAGTCGCGGCTGGCCTGGGGTGCTGAGCCTTCACATGGCAGAAGGGGTGAGGGGGCTCCCCTGAGTTCTCCTGCAAGCCACGAATCCCGTCGTGAGGCTCCAGCCTCGTGACTTGCCTCCCGTCCCCCCACTGGTGATGCCATTACACTGGGAGTTAAGACGTATGAACTCTGGGGGATGCAAACATTAAGTCCATTACACTCCTTTGCTATCAGGTGGCCCCAACTGGGATGAGAAAAATTAACCAGCAAGGAGACAAAACAAGAGGCCTTGGCAGTTAGGTGCCATCTCTCTGGGCATCCCACGTGTGACTGGCATCCCACGTGTCACTGTCACCTCCTTGCAAGTCGTCTGGGCGATCAGCTCCATCTCCCTTGCTTCTGGAGTGTGGGAGCACTTGGCACCCGAGTTGACTGTCCTGTAATTGCTGACTTCATTTACCCTGAGATCTTCCTGGCATCCGCACATTGTCCCCGCAGCACTGCAGGTTGGGCCAGGCGCAGTGGGAAGCCAGGCCTGGTGAGACGGCCAGCACGGCTAGGGGGCCAGTGCGGCAAGGGGCTGGGGAAGGGGCCGCAGGGAAGAGCTCCCCAGCACCCATGGAACGGCCAGAGGGTCTCCCTCAATGGGGCTCATTTGTGAACTAGTTTTAGTCATGACTGTGAGTGGTAAAAGAAGCATATTACCCGGTACACCCTGATTGGAAGAAAAGAGAAGCACGAGACACGTGAGACATCTCTCTCTTTGGTTAAGGGGAAGAATTCAGCACTTAAGGTGTCTGGAAGCTCGTCTTCCTTAGAGAACTAAGGCTAAAAAGAAGCCAAGGAAACACAGGAATGCTGTATTCAGCGTACCCGTTGTCATCCCCAGGCTATTTCTACTATATCTGAATTAGGTACCAGATTAAGAATCAGGGACGCTCCCCATGGTTGTCTGAGGCTGAACCTGGAGAAGGTTCAGTGCCGGGCCCTCCTTCTCACCCTGTGTGACCGTCTGGTACGTGCGTCCTCCGGGTGCCTCAATCTGTGCCCACTGGCCCGCCCTGGCTTTGGTGCTGCCTGGGTCCCACTGTGTCACCCACTCACACCGCCTGCAGAGTGGCTTGTTGGGCGTCCCCTGGGCCCAGCCTGGGTGGCAGCTCCACTGTGCATGCGCCTGGGATGAGTCCTGGCCATGGTGCTCCCGGGGTCTCTCCTGTACCCTGCACCAAGCCTCCTGGAGGGCCTGAGAGATTTCCTGCAGACCCCTCAGCGGCACGCACGCATGCATACAACACGGAGATTCAGGTGTGGATGAGCAGAGTTTCTGGTACAGCTGTTATCCTATCGATGTCCTTACCCTAACCGATCAGGTTAGCCTCATCAGCGGCTCTGGCTACGTGTGATCAACTGTGGTCCAGAAGCAGATGCTCCTCCTTCTGACATACGGTCAGAGGGCAGTGGTGGCCTACGGCTGGGCCACCATGCCCACACCATCCACCTCACTCCATCTCACCCATAGGCACTTCAGCATCTCACCCTCACAAGAAGGGTTAGTGCAGCACAGTAAGTTATTTTGAGACCACATTCAGTTAACTTTTATTACAGCATATTGTTATAACTGTTCTACTTTACTATTAGTTATTGCTGTTACTCTCTTACTGTGCCTAGTTTATAAATTAACCTTCATCAATAGGTATGTATATATAGGAAAACCCACAGGCTTCAGTACTATGCCGAGTTTCAGGCATTCCCCCCTTCCCCCAAGGTCCCGAAAGCATCCCCCATGGATCGGGGGAGCACTGTGTTTATTCCAGGCTGGGCCTCAGATGAGAATCTGCTCCAACACGTGAGGGCAGGAGCCTGATGACCTGTCTCCAGTCATTTAAAATAGTCGTTTGCTCCCAAGGAAGGAAAGAGGCCTGGAGCGCAATGTCACTGGCCACTGGCCTAGCTGGGCACCAAGTTCTCATTTGCTGCCTCCTCCATGAGCACCTCCACCCCTGTGAGCACCCTTCTGTCAGCAGCGCAGGCTCAGAGCTGGCTGGGTGCTGTGGGGAGCCTGTGGGCTGTGCAGGCAGTGCAGGGTGTGGGCTACATCTGGCCAGGTGAGAGGCGTGCAGGTCAGGGGTGGGCAATGCCGGGCGTGCGGGCGGGAGCTGGGCATGCCAGGCACAGTGCAGGGATCACGGTGGGAGGCACGCTCCTGGGCCAGCCCTCCTCCAAGGCACGGGCTCTGAGCTTCCTGCCCCCGGTAAGGCCGGACTTGGGCCTGGGCTCATCCCCTCCACATCCAGCGCTGGTCGGTGGCACCAGGCCTCGGCCGGGCTGTGAGAGCTGCACACCTTGTCTCTCCACATGCCCTGCAGGCTGGGGACAGCCCAGTCTGGGGCCCACGCCTCACCCTGACTGGCTGCAGCCCCAGGTCTGCTGCACACCGCCCCTGCCCCTCTGAGCTGCCCTGGGAGCACGGGCCGTTTCCGAGGAAAGCGCTTCAGGGCGGCCTCTCCGTCCCCAGGACGCCTTCCAGGAGGAGTACTACAGGACGGGCACCTTCCCCGAGACGCCCCTGGTGCCCCCGCGGCGGCCCTGGACGCTCGTGAACTGGCTGGTCTGGGCCTCGCTGCTGCTCTACCCCTTCTTCCGCTTCCTCAGCAACATGATCAGCAGCGGGTCCTCCCTGACTCTGGCCAGCTTCGTCCTAGTCTTCTTTGTGGGTAAGTCGAGGGCAAGAGGCTGGCGGGAAGAGGGGGCAGCAGCCCTCAGCTGCAGGGCCGCATGTGATGGAGACGGGCCTGGGGGGGCACACACTGAGCACAGGACTGCACCATCTAGGAGGAAGGGGGCCCCCTCAGCAGCTGGGAGGCTGGACGCATCAGATGCACATGCAGGCCAGCCCGGAGGGAGGGCACCTTGCTGCCCCTTTCCTGCCAGGGCGGAGGTCCCTTATCCCTGTGCCACAGCAGTGACGCACCTGCTCAGAGCCTCCAGGGCTGGGTCACCCCTTCCCGGCCCCTGCAGAAGGCGCTCCTTATATTCAGTTCTTCCTTCTCTGAGGAAAACCTTTCCCACCCACCCCCAGCACAACCCCAACTGACTGAGGATCTCCTCACGCAAAGCAGGTCCAGGCTCCTCGGGGAAGGGGATGTGCAGCACCTTGGCCCCCTCCCCTGACGTCCCAACAGCGCTGCTGAATAACCAGATTTTCTTAACCCACACTGGCCTCAGCTGACCAGCAGCTTCGAACTACAGCTGTCTCCTCATGGCACAAGCTTTCCTGGAGGAGGCCACTGGGACTTGAAGGGGACATCTGATGCCCCTGCTCTTCCTTCCCGCCCCAGACACAGGGACAGTCTGTGCTTCCTGGAGCCAGAGGGAAACTTGTCTGAGCGTCTGCATCTCCTGAGACATTGGAGAGCATGGGCAGAGTGACTCCTGCTTTTCTGAGACGGAGGAAAAATACTTGGAGTCAAAAGCATGAAGTAATGTGCATGCTTGTCTCAAATGGGCACATCTCAGTTACTCCTGCAAAGCATACAGGTGCCCTATGCTCACTGTAACAGACCCAGACAATATAAAAGTGTAAAAAATTGCAAATGTCTCTGGACATGACTCCCCCTTGAGCCCGCTCCCTGGAAATCACCATCAGTATTCACGCTTTGGTGTACATTCTTCCACTCTGACATACGTGCAATATAAATTCACACAAATGGCGTTTCTCTATTTCACCTAATAAATCGTGGCCACCTACATGTCACAACACGTAAACCTGTCTCATTGTTCTGGATCAAGCCAACCAGTCCTAGACTGTATGATAGCAATGGGCAAACTGGCCACTGTCCCTAAAATAGACCCTGCTGTAGGCTTTCTTAAAGATACATCTTAATATTGAAAATTAAAATGACAACCACTCTTTGTAGAAAAATATAGAGAAATAAGAGGATGCAGGAAAACCCCAATTGCTCTGTGCTTGTCTTGTTCAAAAAGCCTCTGAGCCATGCAGTCTGTGTTTTACCTGCCTCTGTTCCATGTGATACCAGCATTGCGACTGCAGGGAGGCTCCGACACCGGGACAGGGCCTGTTTAGAGCTGGCCCCAGGCTGGGGTCGGCCTGCCTGTCACTGACCCTCGGGTCCGTGTACATGCTGCTGGCTGCTGGTACTTGCCCACCCTGGTCTGCTCCATCTGCTCACAGATGCTACGGCAATGCTCTCTGAACAGGTGACACAGAGACTGCAGTCATTACCCATGTACCCTTTCTGAAATGCATATTACATATGGACTATTTGCCAGGCCCTGTGTCTGTTGGTGGCATGTCAGGGAGATTAAAGTGCGACCTCTGCCCCCAAGGGGACCCCCAAGTCCGCCCTTTCCAGTGGGAGGACCTCGAACTGCAGCTTCTGAGCTTTTGCCCCATTTTCCAGCTTCCTAGGGGTTAATCTCGACTGTCATGTGGGTCCTACACGTTCTCTATTTGGGCCAAAGAAGAGGCTTTTGTGGAGGGAGGAGGGCCTTTGCTTGGTCACTGCTTTGGTAGTTGCGCTAAAAGCTGTACTGGGACACATAGGTGCTGAGGAGCTAGGTGAGCTCCTGTCCTCCTGGCTCCTGGTCTGTCATGAAGCTTCACTGAACGGCGCTCTGTCAGCTCCCGCCCTGCAGTCACAAAAGAATCCTCTTTGCCTTGGGGATGGCTTGGGCAAGAGGGGAATGCTGTGGCCCCCATGTAGAGCTGGTATGGCTTACCAGATTCTGCCCGCCTCCAGCGCCGAAGGAGAACATGCCAACAGAATGGCCTTGCTGTTCACTTTAATGTCCCTTAGGCCGAGAAGACCCTGATGCCCATGCTCACGGGTCACTGGAGAACGGGGGCTTTGAAGGGGCACCCTCCATGAGCCAGCTCTGAGCTGATGCTTGAGATTGCAGACAGCGGCCTTCTCTGGTTCTCACCGGGCAGATGGCCCTGGAGTCCCACAGGCCACTCCTGACCCCTGCCCTTGCCATCTCTGCAGCTTCCATGGGCGTTCGATGGATGATCGGCGTGACAGAAATCGACAAGGGCTCCACCTACGGCAACGCCGACAGCAAGCAGAAGCAGAACGACTGACTCAGGGCACGGCACCAGCCAGAGGGCACCACGGGGAACTGGTGGACGCTGCCTGTCATCCTCAGGGGGACTCGCAGCGGAACAGGGTGAGCCCCTGCTGGGAAGGCAGGGCGTCTGAGCGCCAGCTGGGGAGGAAGATGTTCTTAAATCTTTCCCCCATATGCTTCAGTGGATTTCGGTTCTTTCTTTTCATGTGAGTGTGCGTGTGTGCGCATGTGTGTGTGTGTAAGAGAAAGAACACACACAGGGGAGAATGAAATGCAGTTGTGTGAGCCTGGCTTGGTGATCATTCAGAGGGTATCTGAGGTGCAGGGGGGCAGGGATGGGGAACGGAGGACTCCCCTACATCCTCTGGTGCTGAGTTTTCTGTAGTTCTGGATTGCCAGAGGGAGGGAAAGGTGCTTTAGGTAAGAAGACTAAATTATGCCTCCAAAAAAATAATAATAATGGAAATGTCTGGCTCCTCTGTGGTGTGTTTACACAGACCGCTCCGTCCTTCCGCTCCGCCCACTGCCAGATGTTTTCGTGAGGGACCGCTGTGGTCCAGACAGTGCTCACAAGGAGAGAGCTGGGGGTGGCAGGGGCTCAGCGTCGGGGGCTGGCTGGACGGGGGTGGGCATGCCTCCCTGACGGCCGCTCCCGACAGCAGGCACGGGCGCCTCGGCAGGTGGTGGGGGGCCAGCCAAGCGTGCCTGCCAGACAGTGACAGGGCCTCTCTGGCCTAAGTCTTGAAGATGTGCCCACCTTACTGAAGAAACTGATCTTAAGGCTGAACGTAAACATAAAACCTGGGGATCCACAGGTGATCCTTAGGGAGGTGACTTCAGTCACTGCTCATCTCGGCAAAGACCGGGTCCCCCAGCACAGATGCAGGCTCACTTTATCAAATCACCGTCAGACTGGAGCAAACATCGGGTGCAGGGACCCCCTGGGCTGCTTCTTCCCTTCTGGAAGTGCAGGCTTCTGAACCACAAGTGCTGCCCCCTGGCATCTCCGTGGCCTCTGGGGTAATGGCCCCCATGCAGGATTGCCGGAAGTGCTGCCAGTCAGCAGGGGCCCAGTACTAAAATGATGTAGTCACTATGTGTTTAACAAGCACAACTAACTAGACGTAGCCAAGGAATTGTAAGAAAGTTCCAAAACAATGCTCTCTACTTAAGGGACAATAATGTGTCACTGATATGAATCTGCAGAAGTGAAAAGGGGAAAAAATTCTGGTTTAGTTGTGGAAAGGGAGTATCTCTGAGGCCAGGACCCAAGCTGACACTGGCTAGCGTGCCTGAGGGCAGGGCTGGTAAACCGGTGCCTTTGCCCACCCTGCAGAAGGCCACGTGCCCATTTCAAACACAGCCCTAAGAACAGAGACCCGTAGGCCAACGCCCAGGAACGGCCCCCTCAGCCACACAAAGGCTCCCGGGAGCAACTCAGCTGTGTGCGTTCCGGTGTCACCAGCACCTGCCTGTGGGGCCGTCCTACACCGGGGACTCCAAGCTCTGCTGGAGACCTGGGTAAAGCGGCAGGACGCACGGGTCATGCTGTGAGCTGTGTCCGCCCTCCTGGAACTGCAGCTGCCTTGCTGCAGGCCCCTGGGCGGCCACCCTACTTCTACAGGGCCAATTGTCCCCCTGCACAACAGGGACGATGGCACCAACCCCTCGGGCTGTTTTAGGAGTAAAACAAGGCAGTGTGTAAAATCACTTTAAGAATTCTAAAGCCCTAAACAAAGAAGGGATGAAAGATTAGAAAGTTGCCTGCATGTTGCTATGCCTCAAAAATGCTCAGAAATCACCTTCATGTACCCACAAATGTGTCATTTTTCTCATTTTCATCTTCCCACTCGATGTAGTGGTAATCTAGGTTCTAGTAACAAACCCCTCCTGTCTGGAACATAAAAGATGCCCAGAGACATTCAATTTTTTTTTCTGAATTGGCTCTGGGGCCAAACACAAAACTGAACAAGCAAACAGGTTGCTCACCAGTGCCTTAGGTCAGGTCAGAGGAAGGCAAGGAAATACTCTCCTGGGAAAGAACTAAGGGGCTCTTTTTCAAAACTGCCTTAGAGAACAGGAGAGTGTGGGGTGCTGGGGGCCCATGCTGACGTATTTTCAGTTCAGCCCTTCCACAAAGAAAGGTTTGCTTTCTGCCTTGGGGCCCTGGTTTTCCTCCTGCCCCACTTCCAATAGCGGGGGGACAAGCATGGTGCTCTGGGAGACTCCTCACTCCCCACATCCTCAGCCCACATTCAGGTCTCACAGGTACCACAATCTCCTCAGCAGAGAACTGTTCTGGCTCCCAAGGTATTTTTATTTCTCAGAATTAAAACCGTATGTAGCTTAAGCCACCTCTCCATCACTTGGCGGGAGCATCAAGAACCGAGAACTTCCCGTCCTAACATCTCCGCCTCACGGCAGCTCAAGTCAGCCCTGCTGAGAGCCTGCTCTGAAACCCCACGTGGAAAGAAGAGGACAGAGTTTTACTGCAAACAGGAGAGCAACGCAGGGCCACCTCGGATAGTAAGGGCCCTATCCTTGATGACCCTGCAGCTCTGAGGCAGGGAGTTTAATGCACTTCTAGGAAAGCCAGCCTACCAAGTGACTTTTTTAAAATAAAAAACATCAATGCTCTGGGATGCAGGCTTAAGTTTGGACAAAGCAGACTGATCCTAGGACTACTACATAAATGTAAGAACCACGGAGGAAGAGCTAATGTCCTTTGGGAGTCAGCCTATCTCCTTGGTTTTAGAACACAACCATCTTCATATGATCCCACAGTACTACTGGAATCTCTCTTGAAAGCTGTGCACTCTTAATAAATAGATGCAAAACTTTGTGAAAGTAGCTACTGATGTTTAAAAATTAAAAGCATTAGTGTTTTTTAAAATACATCCATAAGTGGATCTGAAAGACAGTGATTTAGATGTTAAATCCAACGATAAGCATCCAGTCAAAAAAGGAGGAAGAGTTGGGGGGGCAGACACAGAAGGGGCCCTGGAGCTCCACGTTTTGCTCCCGATGGATCAAAGCAGCGGTCTGGCTGCTCCCCAAGGAAAAGCAGATTCCATTTTGCAGACGTTAGAACTTTATTCATAAATATGGACAAAAGGGTAAGAAAGGTATCAGGGACAATTCTGGAGACCTGTTTCCTGCTCAGAACAAGAGGTGCATCCCAGCATTCTCTGCAGCGTCGGGCAGACTTCTCGCCTGTTTGCCAGGCTGAAGTGAGAACATCTCTGGGGGCAGCTGGTCTCCTGAGCGACCACAGGGGGGTCGTCAGGGTCGCCTGCAGTTGTGTTGAAAAGGCAGCACCCGGAAGCAAGGTGCCAGGACCCTGCGTGGCCATCTGCAGGGCTGTTCTCCACCCCGCCCCTCCAGGCTTCTAGGAAGGGCACCACCGGCTGAGGGGCTCCAACAGGGAACTCAAGGTGTCCTGAGAGGGGTTAGCGCTCACCCTCCTTCAACACCTGTTTTGTGGTGCCTTAACTGAAGCAGCTCTAACATTCTGTTTACAGAGGATGAAAGGGAAAAGCTAAAGTGCAGCACTGTTTTCACGGCCGTGAGCACCGCCTCGCTGCCCAACCCTCACGCCTCAGCCCTGCCGGCACGCCGGGCCCTCAGAGCTGTTGTGCACGGGGACCCGCCGGCCTGCCAAACTGCGGGCTCTTGTTCTGGTAAATGCTCCTCCTCCAAAACTGGTCTGACATCTACTGTTGGAATGGGAGACAAAGACTGCACCAGCTGGGAACGTCTTTTACCTTCGGAGGCATGAACTCAGCTCCCGGGCACCATGCTGCTCTTGCTCTCCGCCTCCTACTTGATAGATTTCAACTGCCGCCTTAGTGAAATGGGAAGGTGCCAGTGATTCTCCTGACAAACGACTGTGGATTTTGAAGCTGTGCCCACCCGGTGCCAAGACTCACGAGCACTCCCTGCCTTTGCCAAGGAATCATTTAGGGACGTCAGGCTAACTCCTTAAACTCCTTCTTCTCTGGATTCTTCCCCACATAGGCAAAGATGGCTGGCTGTGTGGGTGAATAAGGAATTGGCTGCATCACAGCATGATGATTTCCTAAAAATATCTTTAGAGATTTAATCAAAAAATATTTTTAAAAACAATTTTTTAACCAGGATAAATGACACTCAAGTCACATCCTTAATGACATCCCAGACGAAAAGGTGAGTCCCTCTTCGGGGGCCAGTCCCCTGCCCTTCGAAATGACCCCTATGCACGTCATCACCCAGTCCCCCAGGGCAAGCACAGCGCTGACCTGTCACCCAGGAATGAATGCTGTCCCGTCTCCAAGGCACATCTGTGGCACCTCACACTCCTGCATCCTTGGCTTGGGTTTGAGTATATTCAGTCTCCACAAACTTAAATGACAACCAAGCACTTTCCGACGCTTCAAGGCTTTCCTGTTGCAAAGCACCGGGTGCACAGCTTGAGAGGATGACAAAGGCCGAAGCAGATGTTCCTGCTTCCTTTGACCCATGATCTCAGTGCCATTCACACTGCCTGTTACCAGCTGGTAATCTGGTTATGATAGCCATTTGTTAATTTGAAATTACCATTATTTGGGTCAGGAACAGCAGAATATCAGAAACCTCATCTAAACGGTGAGTGTGTGTCTCCTCAGAGCGTTACCTGTACAGGGGCTCCTGTGGCGGTTCTGAGTCACCGACTGACGGAATGAAGGGGACGTTAATGACTCAGAGGCTTAACTAACTAAATTTCCATTGTCCCCTTTTGAGTCCCTTTCCTCAAGTAAAAATAGGAGCCTTTCTTATGCACAGTTAGGCCAAAATAAAATCCAGGACTTCATAGGCAGCCAATACTTTGGAGTTTCAGAGTTATCAGTGAAAAAAAGCAAAGTTTTCTCCAGTACAGGATAAGCAATTCCAAACTAGGCCTTCTTCAGCCCCTGCAACCTTGTCTTATTTTAATATTGATTGTGAATTGACTAAAAAGTACTTATTAAGCACCTACTTAGATCTTTTCAGTATCTAGAAAATATCTCCTAAAGCCATGCTGGTAAAGTTCTCCTTTGAGTAAGACTCATACAATTTTTACCTTTAATATTTTTTTTTCATACAAAGGCATAGTCTTATTTTACATGTTGGAATGACTGGACATTTGTGAAATTTCAGGCATCCATGTTCTGCTGAATTTTAAGGACGTAAGAACAAAACTACGGTTGCTGAATAATAATCCCTTTGGAGTTCTGAAATTAATTAATTACACAGTTTATACTTTCTCTTCTTACAGTCCATAGTCTTTATCCAGGTCTTTCCAAACATTCTAGGACATTAAGAAAAGTCTTCCATGGAGTTTCAGAATGCCATTCTATCTGTATGTTTGCAAACACAGAAGAAAAGCAGTGGAGAATATTAACAACGTTGATGAAATAGGGTGGTCAGACTCCTAAAGTGTACATGAAGTAAGGTCACAAATCCCAGCACCCCATGCCCTGCCAGGACGGGGTGCAGCGCCTACAGTGAGCCCCGTGCATCCGAGGCAGGAAGAACAAGGCCCCACGGGCTTCCTGCAGACCACAGGGTGATGGCGGCAGAGGGGGGGCAGCTCCTCTTCTGCTTTTCTGTCCCATCCACAGTTGAAGTTAGGGAATGAGTTACTCATAAACTCATAAAGTACACAGTAAACCCTTACCGGATATCATACACAAAAGGTGACTACAAGTAGGTGACAGACCTAAATGGAGGAGCTGAAACTATAAAACTCGTAGAAGAAAACAGGTGTAAATCTTCACGATCTTGGGTCAGGTAGTAAGCTTTTAGATACAGTATCAGGAGCACCTACAATAAAGAACTAGTTGATACTTCAAACTTTTAAAACTTTTGTTCTTCAAAAGGCACCATTAAGAAGTGACAAGCCAAGCCACAGAGTAGGAGAAACAACGTTTGCAAATCACATGCCCCATAAGGACTTGTATCCAGAATGCATAAAAAACGTCGCACAACTCAGTAAGAAGACAAATAACCCAAGTAAACAATGGGAAGACAATCTGAAGACATTTCACCAAAGAAGATGTACAAATGGTCAAGATGCCCACCATCATCAGGGAGCTACGGACTGAAAACCAGTTCAGACACTAGAGCGGCTTTCTCACAAAGACAGACAATCAACACGCACTGGTGAGGGTGCAGAGAAGCCAGAAGCCTCCTACCTTGCTGGGGAGAAATAAGACAGTGCAGCCACTTTGGAAAGTTGGGCAGTTTCTTAAAATACCGAACCTGGATTTATCAAATAAGCCAGCAGTTCCATTCCCGAGAGAAATGAAAACATACGTCCAAACAAAGACTTGGATGTGAATGTTCAGAGCAGCAATATTCATATTAACGAAAATGTACAAGTAGTAAATGAGTAACTGAAAATGGGGCATGGCCATACATGGGAATGGGATTCAGCAATGAAAAGGAATGGAGTGCTGATACAGGCTACACCACGGCTAAGACTCAGGAAGATTACACTTAGTACAAGCAGCTGGAAACAAAAGACCACGCTGTAAAACTCTATTTCTACAGAATGTCCAGAACAGGCAAATCCATAGATACGGGAAGTGGCCTGGTGGTTGCCTAGGGCTCAGGGTAGGAATGGGAGTGACTGCAAACAGCCATGAGCTGTTCCTCTCGGATGATGGAAATATCCTAAGATGGACTGTGCAGGTGGTGGTATGACTGTGTAGCTACACTCAAGGTTACTAAATAGGACACTGACAAATTATGTGAATTATTTACCTCAAAAAGGTGTTTTTCAATACTGAAATTAAAAAAAAGTTCTAAGTGTATAAATCCTTCTGTGATACCAACATCCTCTGGATATTAACTTCTTGGAGAGGATCTGCTGCCCTGGAAGGAAGGTGAATGCAGAACCTGCCTAACAAATCACTCTCTGTGTGTCAGGAGCAAGTCAGTCGTCCTCTACAGAGATTTCAGGAGGCTTTAAGATCAATCTTTAAAAAAATATAAAGCAAAGAGAAATTAAAGAACCCTATCAATGTCACATAATTTGGGCTATTTTAGAAAACTGCCATAATGTTTACATTCTGAAAAAGAGGCTTTTTTGTCAAGAGATTATCTAGTATTTATACTGACCCAGCATCTATACATCTTGATTTAAAAGTGAATGGGGCCCCAAGGGTTAACAAGGCATCGACTCTGTTACGCACTTGCTGGTGAACATAAGACCACTGCAAGGGCCCTCTCACACCCCAGCAGTGCTCCACTGCGCTGTCACCTCCCGGTGAGGACAGCCTCCATCTCAGGGAGCTCCCAGCGCAGCGTCCACCTTCGGCCATGGGATGGTGCCCCTTCCATGGAGGAACGTGAGGGAATGTGACAGACCTCTGTACCCAATAATATGCTGGCTCTGAATCTGATAACCATTAAAAGACAATATAACTGAGCTTTCCTAAAATAAACCATTTATTGAAAAAAGAACCTTTTTCTTAAATTTCATTAACCAGCCTTTTGTGTAACAAACCTGTGGCTTGCCAACAACGAAAAGGTAAGGTCTCACAGTCAGTGCACCCGACAAACAGGAGATTGGCAGCAAGGCCCGGACGCCTGATAACACTACCACTGCTTTTGAACCTAGCAAGGTCAAAAACACCACACCGATGTCACAGTTCTCGGTCACACGAGAAACAGGGCAGCAGAGGCGACGGTCCGTGCACAGTAGTAATGACACTCGACATGCAGCTTCTTTACTCGCGAACACCGTCACTCAGAGGCCCCGCGCCACGTCACACAGACGAGCAGCAGGAGGAGTGACCCTCGTCACCTGTGCAGTCTTCGGTCTTGGAAGGTCAGAAAGGCTTCCACTGCTCCTCAGCACAGTCATGTAAATATTACATACAGTAGTGATAAAGGGAACTTTCCGAGCACACACACTACCAGGCCACAGACTGATCAGCTTCACTCTTCATCTGTGCACACCTGTGAAGAAGGCAGGAGAGAGCTGAGCCCTATTCATGACCCGGGTGGGGCGCATCAGGAAGTTAGTACCTGGCACAGAGAGGGCACTTCATCAGTGCAAGGAATAGCGGCAGTGCAGCTACTGCTCCACGGAAGCTGGTTTAAGAATGCACTTGTGTACACTCTCAGTGTCAACTGTTCAAATACTTTATGAGGAAGTAAATTTGTGTTTCATTGCAATGCCTTGTATCTCCGTAGCAAATGCAGCTGTTTGTTCCTTATTCCTTCGCCCTCCCCAGGAATCATGTTACCACTTGTCTGCTCCCTCCTGCCCTTCCCCAGAGGCTCACCTGCACAGCCTTGATGTAGTTCCTTCCAGGGGTCCATTCCCAGCCCACTGCCCCTTGAACACTCTCCCAGCGACATTTCTGTCTCCCAAATCTGTGTCCTTGCCCAGTTCTCTCAAGTGCCAGCCCAAAATATCCATATGCCTGTCTGAAGTCCCCAAGCAGATGCCCCAAACACACTTCAAACCTAATCTACCAAAGAAAACCACCATCACCCCCTGACCAGCCCTTACCAGCTGCCCGCTCTACCTGTCTTGGCAAGTGGGACCTCTGACCTGGCGCTGCAACTGGGAGCCTGAGAACCACCTACACCTCAGGCTCGCTCACCTGTCTCACCCACTCATTCCATAGTATTGGCCATTTTGACTCCGAAATATCACTGATAACTTGCCCTGACCTCCCAAGCCCGACCCATCGGCAGCCTCCAAACCTGTCTTGCACCTCCAATGTGATTATTCCAAGACACAATGTCATCATGTTATGCCTACAGTAAAACTGAAATCCCTTCACGTGGCTCCTGCCCACCTCTCCAGCCTTCCCTTCACCACCTGCCACGCTCTGCGATCTCACTGTCTACCTGTACGCAGCTCCCTGGCTACGTGACAGGCTAATCAGAGCGCCTTTCCATGACCCTCCCAGTCTGTCACATCCACGCCCCCAACCCCAGCCTTGCCAGACCTACTCTAACAGCTCAGGCCTCTCACTCTAGGAAAAGTAATGTCTGAAACCACCTGACTAGGTAGATCCTCCTCTCAATGACCCTGCAACATGGCACATGTGGCTCTGAGCACATTGGCTAGTTGTTACTAACTCTGAGCCTCAGGGAGGCTACACATTCTCAAGGGTGGACACCAAGTCCTTCATGGGTCCCAGTTGAAGTTCCACTTACCGTCCCAGGTACACCTCAAACACACCATCCAAATGGATCAAGCAGAACTCGATGAATATTTTCCAAAAGGAAAAGCACATACAAAATCCCCTGACAAAACATTTAGCCCCTTTCCATTTCAGATACATAGACAATTAATATTTAAGTTCCCAAATTTCTTCATGTGCCAGATGAAAACCAAACTCAAATATTCAAACATGCAGATGGTGCCGCAACGTGCCCAACCTTGACGAAGGAATGGTCGAGGAGCTGGCTCGCCGTCCACCTCATCCTGGGCTCACTTTCAAGGCAGTGTGACAGGAAGTCCTTTCCTTCCGGGCTTAATCTTTCAGGGATTGGTGGTTTATGCCCCATTCCCACTTTATACATAATCTGAAAGTTGTGTTCATATTCATGCCAAGGCCTCTAAAAAGAAAAAAATCAGGCCTTAATACCACATAGACATAAAAAAAGCAACTGCTCAATCTCTTTTTAGGAATCTCGGTATTAATATTTATCAGGAGCCAGCAATTTTTACTTAATAGGACCAAACTTTTATTGAAACAAATTGATAATTAAAGGGCCAGGTATGCATTTTTTAGGCTTGCAGGCTATAGGATCTTTGTCACAACTATTCAGTTCTCCCACTGTAGAATGAAGGCAGCCACAGACAATAAATAAATGAATGGATGTGATCATGTGCTTTATTTACAAAACTTTATTTATACAACTAAGGGATCAGCATAGTCTGCCTACCCCATTTGGATATTCCATTAATCCAGCATTACCTAGAAGCCACCAGCAAGCAAATAAAAAATGTAATATGTAAAACAATACAATATGTTAATAAAACTTAACAGTTAACTTATAGGCATGTTTAATATGCTACCTTGTTGAAAAGTGAGCATCAAATTTTACTATACTAGTGCAAAGCTTAGATTATTTTATTGTAATCACATGAAAAATGACATTCACGGGGAAAGAACAAGGCTGTGGGGCCTTCTGATCTGTGTGCCACTGTCTAGGTACTGCGGTATGCCTTCTTCAATGAGTTCATGTTCTTTCTCTGAGCTGTGGCTTAATGGAAGTAACAGACACCATGGGTATCTTTCTTTGCTAACACAAATAGTATTAATATTTATGGAGCACTTCTGTGTGATCTTTTTCAGCAGCTTCAAGGTATAATAATTTCCTACTAATAACATTTAATAGTTTCTAACTTTTTTTGCTTTATAAACGATGCTACATACACCACACACAGAATGACTTCAGACATGTACAGACTTGCTCATTACTAGTATCTTTATTAGAAGATACATTTTCAGAATTTTCAGATACCATACCATACAGAACAGTTTCACTACCCTAAAACTCCTGTTCTCTACTCATTCATCCTTCCCTCCCTCTCCCAGAGCCTCTGGTAACCGCTGATCTTCTGCCTCTATAGCTTTGCCCTTTCCAGAATGGCATACAGTTGGAATCCTATGCGGCACGGTGTTTTCAGACTGGCTTCTTTCTCTTAGCAACGTGCCTTTAAGGTTCCTCCCTGTCATTTTATGGCTTGTAAGCTCATATGGCTGCATAATATTCTATGGTATGGATTACCAGCTTGTTTATCTATTTACCTAGTGAAGGATAACCTTGGTTACTTCCAAGTTTTGGCAATTATGAATAAAGTTGATATAAGCAATCATGTGCCAGTTTTTATGTGGACATAAGTTTTCACTGCATGTTTCTTTTTGTAGCGGCTTGCTTCTCCCTCTCTTAATTCAAGCCTTATGCTTTTGTAATTCACTCGTAAGAGTCCTCTAAGTCATAAATCCTGTAAATATTTGGTTCCTAGTTTGTCACTTGTCTAAGCTTACTGTATCTTTTCATGAGGTCATGTTTTTCACCTCCAGTCATGCTCTTTTTTATAAAGCATAATAAAACCCGTCATGGCCCTGTTCCTGTGAAGTGCTCTCCTGAGCTTTCTCCTCCAGGTGTGGCCTCTGCTTACCTTGCCCGTCACCATCTCTATGACAACACACCCCAGGCTCCAGATGTCAGCCGCTCGCCCGTGGCCCTCTCCTTTTGCACGAGTGATGACTTCCGGAGCCATGTATGCTTTAAAAGTCACAGATATGATGATAGGAATGGGTTATAAACACAGCACCATTTATTAGCAGAGCCAAGCAAGAAATTAATATTGTATAATATCGTACACAGAAGATGCAATTGATTTGTTAGGTGGCCATGGGGAGCTTTCTCCGAGTTAGATAAGAAGAAATATCAAAACTTGAACAAAGGTATTTCAAGTCAATTTTTTAAATTGACATTTTAGGGGCTGCATTATCTTCTAAAGGACAAGTTTTGAATATCCAAATCTTCAGATAAATTACATCCACAATGAAAATACAAAGTTTACCTACAAAGGAGGATGTGACTTCTTAATGACACTAAATAATTCAAACAAATAATTACCATTTAAACATAGTATTATTTCGACTGAAACAGCCATAATAAATCCCATGGGAACAACAAAGATAGTTCTTCTGGGAAGAAAAAGAGGCCTTCCTTCCCTTCCTCCTCTGACTTTAAGGGAGAAATCGATTCCCGTCTGACAAGGGCTTTCAGGTGGAAGGCCCCTCACGCTAGAGACCTTCACCTCTCCCAGGTCTCTGCTGACAAGGCAGGACAGGGAGACCCAAGCACCAGGCAGGCCACGACGAGTCACAGCACTAAGACAAGCCCCGCCCGTGCCCACCTGCTGTCCCCAGAGTGCTGTTCACTTCGCCGGGCATGGTCTGCGCGTTGTTTTTAAGCTTTACTGAGCATCCAAAATCCCCTAGTTTGATCAGTCCAGACGAGGTAAGGAAGATGTTGGCACCTAGTGAGAAGTAAGCAGTCTTTAGTCCCTGGCATGCCATGAGTGCCTCCTAAGCTGACATGGCAACCTCCACTACCAGCAACTTGATTCACAAGCTTTACAGATAATCACAGAAAGATTTTAAGCCATTATTCAATCAAGACATCAAAATAAAGCAAAGCAATTTTAGTACCAGTGCAGATAGTTTTGACCAATAAATGCTGAACTGAAATACATGTATTAATTCTAACATTAAAAACTCAGAGATACTTAAAAAGACATTAATATAAAACACAAATGCTTGCAGTGGCGGTCTCTAAACATCAGAGTTCTGCACAGAGGCCCCTATGACAGGAAGCAACGGGGATAAAGAACTGCATACACACTGCTGCACTTTCTCATCAGATCCTAGCTGCCACCGGGTTCAGTGTAGACTGAACAGCGTTCTGCAGTTTCCTAGTATTTCTGCCAGCAGTATACATGGCTAACTGGTACTCAAGTTGGGGTGGTGGGTACTGCTCATCTCTCAGGCAGCTCTGCCTTTTGCTATGGGCTACAGGATATCATCACTCCACTGAGCCACACATCTCTAGGTGGCATCATAGTCCTGGGGTACCGGCTTTCAAAAAGCAATGCAGAGCCACTCAAGTCAGACAAACAGCCACATGATAGGCTGACATCTAACAGTCACTCCTCGTGGATTGAGTGCCCCCCCAGTAGGTGGTGTCCACTGTGGGTTACACATTGCTAATTTCATCATTCTAGAACTAGTCCAAGCATGTATATCCTCCACCATACCATATTATACAAACATCACAAGGACAAAAGTGAACAAATCTGCTGCAAAAACTCTGAGGGATCCTCTCTATGGCCATGGCCAATGACATGCAGGTACCACTTCATGACAGCAGACAGAGACCCAACTGGTGTACGTGGCAGAGCAACTGGAAACAGGCAACGCCGTGGCCTGACAAAGAACCAACTGAGCAGATGCTCAGAATGATCCCAGACAGCCACGTGTGGTGGGTGGGCGGACAGGCAGCAAGACTGGCATACACTGGGATGCAGGCTTGGGGGCAGTGGGCAGCCTTAGGATGGGCAGTGCTCCATCCAGATCAAAGCAGGTTTGGATGTAATCTAGATCCCCACTGGCTCCAGTGCCTGGTCAGAAGTTGGCCAATTCTAGAGCGAACAGGTCTAGGTTGGCCTAAGACTACGTGATAGAATGGAACCCTTCGGTCTAGATAAAAATCATTTGTTACTTTAACCCCTCAGATTCCCAAATACAAAGGTCAGGGAGACAGTGTGTTTAAGCCCAATGCCAGAGGGACAGCTCTAAGACAGAAGCATGGCTGCTCTCCTCACAGAAGGGAAAAGCACTTTTAATCCATCAGCTTGACCAAATCAATATTTAGCAAAACTCCACTGGGGAGGTTGGTGTAAATAAAATCTTACCCTTGTCCCCCTAACACTGCTGCACATCATGAGTTACACCAGCATTTCTGACTCACTGTCACTTGACATATTCACGATGTCTATATGTAAATACACAAGGGTCTTGACATGGGGAAAAGAAAGGATGCTCTGATCACAAATGTCTCGTGAACACACCATGTTGACCAAATCAGCCTTAAAAGTAACAAATTTCATTTCTGGGAAACAGACTTCCCCGAAAGCATTATGGAGCACACAGAGCAGAGCCGCCGCTCGCAGGAGGAGACGGGGCTCCACACAGTTGCTTCGTCTTGAGCTCTTTACAGGAGATTATGTATAAAAAAGGTATTTCTTCCTAGAGAAATGATGTGTGGGAGTGGGAACGACCATCTGGGGGCACCGACCCTGTGCTGGGCACCAGAGGACTGTCTGGCCCCTGGCGAGCGGGGGACATCACCTTTAATGTCACGGTGGACTATGCCATGCTCGTGGAGGACGTTGATCGCGGTGCTGATCTGCTTTGAGTACAGCCGGATGACGTGCTCCTGAAGTCCCAGCCTCGACACCTCTTCCAGCGTACCCTCGTCACAGTACTCCATGAAGATGTACATTTCTTCCTGGAGGAGGAATGAAACACAGCCTTGTGTTTACATGGACACTAAGCGAAGAATGTGGAACACGTCACAGGCCAGGCCCCAGAGGAACCTTCTCTGCGATGGTACACTACGCCTGTCACCCTGAGCACTGAGGCTGTCTCCTGACAGTCATTCCTGACTCCTCTACCGAGCATGTGCCTGTCTCCTTCCTCTGTCTGGAATTACATAGCTAGTCGGGATAAGAACATCTCCGAATCACTGGCGACAATGTCTGTGATCCTCTGGAATCCAGTCCGCTGTATACTCTCAGACAGGGACCAACGGGGCTGACCCTATAAACATATTATTAAGTACTGAAACACATCCTTTTCAAATATGAATTTACTTGTGGAAACATTAAAAAATCACAAATATCCAACTTCCCCTGGAAGCTCATGCTCTGCCAAGATGCTCCAGGTTATCCTCTTTCCCTCAAAGTGTTTACTTCTAAAGACAAGGGGGAAAACAAATTTGAGGTTCTAGATTTCTGTCATTTCACAATGGTTCGTTCCTTAAATAAACATAAAAGAAACCTTGGTATTCCTCAACAGTGTACTCTACAGTGGTTCCGCGAAAAAGCAGCGAGAAGCTGTGTGGGGTGTTTTAGAAGAGCCTTCTGACTGGCAGGATGGGTTTCAGCGCTTTATAATGTCGGGTTAATGACTACAGTCTACAACTTACATTTCAGGAAGAACTCCTCTAGTTTCAGAGAGAAGGCAGAAATGATGTAACTCATGGAGATTTCCTGATAATTAGGCAAAGTTACTGTGCTCTGCAATGAGAAGACCTGTGATGTAGAACAGGACTCCATTTGCACCCTTACTGATCCTCACACAAAAGAGTGTGATCAAAGTTGGCTTACTCTGTGAAGTTCCACACCAAAATACCGAACCAGATTGGGGTGTTTGATGCCTTCAAATATTTTCAATTCATCTGCAGTTTCCTTAATAGTTTTATGGTCATTAGGTTGAAATCGAATCTGTAAAAGGAAATTGTTGATTACTGATGGGACTGTCACAAACTAGAAACACAACAGCTTTAACTAGGAGGGCTGGTGAGCTGTCTCCTGACACTGTCCTCACCCAGAGCCACAGGACTAGGGTCTGTGTGTCTGTGACTTCCCTTCCAGACTTTCTGTCCTTTGTCATTCCAAGCAAATTAAACGTGCCTGCTTTAGAATACTTGGTGAGAGAGCGGCTGATCACATCACTCTCACAGCTACAAACTGAATTAACAAAACCATTAACCAGTCAGTGAGCAGTCACAGGGGCTCAGAAGAAGTGTACAACCAAGCTGAACAAGGTTACAGAAGCAGTGCGGCCGCTACGCAGGCACGGCGAGGAGATGCAGCAGGAGCTCAGGAAGGAGAAGGGTCATTGGCTGAGCTGCAGCCTTTTCATCCAGCTCCACCACCTGCCCTTTGACCTCACTCATGCGGAGTCCCCTCTTCAGCAACAAGTCTTTGTTTCCCTGATGGGGCCTCCTCAGGCCTTCCCAGCTCAGTCTTAGTGTCCTCATGGAATCATAATCGGCTTTACTCAGTGTAGCTTCAGTGTGCCTGTCTGGTCACTCAGTGTGTGCCTGCTGCCCAGTCACCTCAGTGTGCCTGTCTCGTCACTCAGTGTGTGCCTGCCCGGTCACCTCGGTGTGCCTGGTGTGGTCACTCAGTGTGTGCCTGCCCAGTCACCTCGGTGTGCCTGTCTTGTCACTCAGTGTGTGCCTGTCTGGTTGGTCTCAACAGTCTAAGTGCTAAAAGGCAGGTCTCAGACTCACTACAGAAGCACTGGGGGCAGCTCTATGCACTAAGAGGAATTTTTCCTTATCAAATCTTTATCACACAAGGACTTCAAACAAAAAGCCCTAGAGGGCCAAACCACTCACCTCTTTCATAGCCATCAGCTCTCCAGTGTCAACGCTGATACAGGTGTAGACCTTCCCATACTGGCCCTCCCCTGCAAGCGGGAACAAACACGCAGCTCTCAGTCACCAAGCAACGCATTTCAAGTCATCCAGATGATAAAATCTCCAATTCTGGACCTCTATTTACAGATCTATAATTACGCTTACTACAGTCCGCTTTTGCAAGACCCAAAATATTTCTGAACATTCCCTAATAATTGAGGACAATCTCTTCCCTATGGATTACCTGTAAAGACCTATACATAGGGTAGAACTGACTTTGGAAAATCCCAGAGGAGGCATGAAGGGGCACACCTCTGAGCCTTAGGGCCCTGGAGGCAGTCTGGGCCGCAAGGGGCTGCCAGGCGGGGAACCTGACCACCAACTCAGACTTCCTGCGGCGCCACTGCACGGCCGGGACCAGTAGTGGGTGGGGGGAGTGTCCCACCAACACAGCTTTGGGGACATTAAGTGAAGGGGATATATGACTGAATAACACTGATAACAATAATTAATACAATTTATGAAGTGCTTGACTGTTTTCAGTGTTTTCTGCTCCAACTGATAGAATTTTGGACACTTCAGGTCTCCTCAGCTCACAGGGTCCTACACTCACACTGTGCCTGCCTCTCTGGACCTAAATGCTCGCCAGAGAGTAGCACTTAAACGGGGACCAGAACAGCAGCAGGCTCCTTCTCTCACGCGATCTACCACTAGTTATTTTACAAGAAACTTAATTTCATTAATAGGCAGTGTTTTTAAAAGACTGCCCTGTCTTTATTTGTACCCAGTCTTTCTTAAATAATGTTCTTGTGGGAATAAGGTAAAAAAAATAGAGACATGAACAAATGGGTAAAATTGATGTAGTTCTCCACTGTAACTCTGGAGTTACAAAGCAAAACTATTCAATATAGTGAACCATTTAAATGTCTCTAAAATCTCATTTTGTATTGCTCTCAGAACACATTTTACATATGAAACAAAAAACAGAATGCTCTGCAAAAGATATAATATGTATGCCATGTCTGTAAGAGAAAAAGACCAACTATGTAAGATTTAACTTAACAAAGTGTAACTGTTGCTATTTCTGTGTCACGTTCCTCGGGTTCCTTACCAATTTTGTTTCCTCTTTGCCACTTGAAGGTCACCTTCCTCAAGCCTACATGCATAACATTATCATAAGATTTAGGGGTATCACAAACTTGGCCAATGATATTCTTTCTCCTCATTTCTCGATACCTCTTTTCTTCAAACAATCGGACTGACTTCTGGATAGCTTCTATGGGTCCTTGTTTAGAAGCTGTATCTGCGGGGAAACACACAAACTCAGTCCCAATCACTACCATCAAGTCAATTTCCAGCAAAAAACAATAAAAACAGAGCAACATACATTGGCACCCTTCACAGCAAGGCTCATTAACTATTCAGACACACAGCAGGTGAATTGAAGTCCATCCAAATCCACCAGTTACAGAGTACACTGCATACTACACACACACTCACAGAACTCACAGGGCTGAGGACAACTCTCCAGGCTGCTGGTCAGCCTAGTGCAGTGACCTCCCACCTGCCTCTAGGCTAGCTCCCCAATGCACTTTCGTTGGCCAGAATTGTCTTAATAAAACATAAAATCTGATCATGTCACTTTCCTATGTAAATTTACTTCATGGTTCTTCACAACCTGTTCACAAAAGTCCCAACGTCCTACATAATTTGGACCCAGTTTATCTTTTATGCTTCACTTTTTTAAGCCCTCTCCCTTCTCTTCTCCTGCCACAAGCTCTGGACTAGCTGAACTGAAAAGACTCTGTGGAACTCACCAAACTGTTTCTCATTCCCACACTTTTGTCCACATTTTTCTGTCTGCCTAAAAGGCAGCCTTCTCACCACAGTGCCTGGTGAGTAAATATTCCTTATCACAGGTCACTGTGATACCGCACCTCGTCTAGGAAGCCATCCCTGCTGTGAAAGGAATTAAGCTTTCCCTTCTCTGGGAAGAATGTACAGAGTAGGGGCTCTGGACTCAGAATGCCAGGGATCAAACTCTGACCTCACCATGCTCCAGGTGTTTGATGACTGATAACGGGCAAGTTAATGGATTTCTTTATATATCAAATCCCTACTCCGTAAAATGAAGGTAATAATCCCTGATTCACAGAGCTGGCGTGAGGATTTCATGAAAGCATGCATGTAAAGCATGCAGTCCGGTGACAGGAACACAGGAATACCCAACACATCGCAGACAATGTGGTCACTATTCTTTTGTTTTCCCATCACTTCTGTCCCTCTGTACCTCTTTTTCTCCAACATATTTTATCACTATTTATAGTAAGAAATGTCTTTTCCACATACAAGTGTCTAAAACAACACTTTCAGGAAACCTCATTACTCCTATTACGTGTGATTCAGACTCCGTCCTATTTTGTTTTAATGCTGATTTTATAACCCACTAATGAGTCACAACCCATAATTGAGAAGCACTACTTCAAGTACTAATACAGCACTTTGCATAGTGTATCCTAATTAGCTATCTAAGAGCCTGGATTTCCTAGCCAACAAGAGATGATTGAGGACTGGGATGACAATATGGTAATTTGAAGGGAGAAATTCCCAAAGGTTCATAATGTTCTAATTACAGTTTCTTACTACAGTCATTTATTAAAAATGTCAATCCTTGTTTCCTTTACCTCAGTTTATGACACATCAAGTCTACACAGCACTGAACAAGACTTCACAGCTGTGAGGCCATGGACTCCATCATTAAATATTTCTGGGAACAGCTTATTTTTTTTTTAACAGTAAAGTTTCTCAATTCCTTGGTCTTTAATATGTCAGTGTGAACTACAACTCTCCCAAGAATTCCCAAGTTTACCCAACCACAAAGTACTTGTTTCGAAAAGCATAGTAAAGACTGGTATCTGTGGGAACCACAGGTTGTGTGAGAGCCACCGGAGACCCTCCTGGCCACCAGCTCAAGCCCAAGCACTGCAATCCCCTCCGCCACTGCCCCCGCCAACCCTCTACACACGCCTGGCCCACTCCAGGCCTGTCCCATATTGTAACACAGTTGTTCCTTGACTTCATTCCTTTTTCTATATCCCACCTTAGGCCTATAGCTTATTCTTTCACACCACATTACTCCAATGGCCTTCAAACCAATCTCCCTGTTTCTTCCCCCATTCAGGACAGCAGGTTAGCCTACCTCAGTGTCCCCTTTTACCCCCCATCCCTACCCACTCCCAAACACACCAGCTGCTCAACTGGCTTCAAAGGCTACCCACCATCACCTGGTAAAGCCATAAGCACTTAGCCGATCTCTGAAGACTGGCCACGCCCGACCTCCCACTTCAACTTCACCTCCGTGTACAGCCACACTACCCAGCCCAGCCCCATGGGTCTTTTCACTGGTCACGGGCCTTCAGGTGTGTTTCTCATTCTGTACTTTTCCTCTGGCTTGATGCAGAACCGCTTTCCTTTAAAACCAGCTCCAGCCTTATCCCTCCAAGAAATCCCTTCTGATTGTCCTCAGCTTTGGGGGACAACATATGGCAAAGGGGTGCTATTGGTGAAGAGCTCTGATCCCAGTCCTGCGGTTTACTACTTTGGACAAATTAACTGGCCTCTCAAACTTTATCATTTATGAAAAGAAAACCTATTCTGCCTACTGTTCAAGACTGTGACAAATGTGTGAAAGCATTTGGAGATCAAGTGCTAGACCAGTGGTTTTTCTGCTATTTATTCTGTGAATTAATACTGATTTTTGATCACCCACTTTGTTAAGATAAATGCTTTTTCTCAACTTCTTAGTGTAAGCAATGAATGGCTATTCATTTCACAGATACTTATATATTACTACTATCTACAAAGATTTATGCTAAGGGGCCACCCAAGGCAAAATAAAATTAACCACCACACTGCTTTAAAAATACAAAGAAGAGCAAAACATGTTCCTAACCCAAAGGAGCTGGTAATTTATTTTAAGAAACAGGAAAGGTACACAAACATAGTATATATAGAAAGTGATATCAAGGCATAAGAAAGGCCACAAAATATCAATGTAGAAGGGTTAATAATTCAGAAGCTAAAGCATGTTTTAGCTGAAACTGCTCACTTTATGCTTAAGCCTTTTAAGTTCAACATTCTTTCCCTTACCCTTAGTCTGGCTGATCAGTGTCCGAAGTTCCCAACTTCTCCGAGTTGACCCACTGGAATCACCTTTTGGATATGCTGGTTCTGCAGGAAATGGTTTTTTTTCATACAAATTAAGACATATAAAACAAAAATGCTTTTGTAATTGAGAGCAAGATTCAAGAGTGAATGACAATCATTAGTTACCAACAACCTGCCCTTTCTGGTAACTAACCTCTGGCTGATGTGAGTGTTGAGAAGCTGTCTCTACAATCAGTTCCAGAAAATTACACCAAACTAAGAAGTTGTTCCTGGGGTTACAGGATTTTAATTGTGTAAACTTTTCGAGAGCAACAGACAATATGATACTGGATGGAAAGTGGATTTTTGGGGGACTCCACTCAAAGGCCCTGCCCAGGAGCACAGCAGTGCGGCAGCGTGAGTAACCCCAGCTCCTGGGCAGACTCCCGGGTCTGCACTGTGATAACACTTCAGCATGGCCTCGACAAACAGGGTCACTGTTGTACTTTTAAGGTGAGCCACAGTGCTTGGCAATTAAAATACCAGGAATAATAATTTTTTTTAAATCAACAAAAGTAGACTAGAAAACATAGCTAAAAAGGCACCTACATTAGAAAGCCAATGTGTCTGACATTAAATCTTCTTAGAAAGCTGTCACCTCTTCTCAAAGGTATAGCCAATGGAAGCTGGGGCCGAGACAGATGGCCAGGCCCACCGAGCATACTCACCGTCTCGCTCCTCGGTGGGGCTTGAGTGGCGACTCAGAGACCGAAACTGCAGCTCAGCTGCTATGGAAGCCAATCGGTCATTCTCCGGGACACTGGAACCCCTGGTTTAGTGTTTTTAAAAATCATGCTATCAATTCAATGGCACTCAAAATGAAAGATCTGTGAGATTCTTTTAGAGCAAAGATTCCCAACTAGGGGTGATTCTGCGCACGTGCACACACACACACACACACACACACACACACACACACACACACACACCGGGACATCTGGCATCTAGTGGGTCCAGGACAATGCAAAGGACAGCCCCCAAAAAAGAATTATTTGCCCAAAATGAACAGTGCTGCTACTGAGAAACCCACCTCAGTATGGGAGGAGAATGTTATTTTTATTCCTCCACAGACAACACATGAGAACCTGACTGCATAATACACTGTTTTATGTAAAAAACACAAAAATAAACACAGAACAGTATTTACTGAAGTATTACTGTTGTGTGGAAAGCTCCATAATTTAAGACCACGGTGGTTACAAATTATTAACCAAACGTGGATAATATTTATAGTTACCATCAAATTTTATTTTTGTATTTAATTCTATTTCTGCTAAAATCGTCATACTATTCAAAGGATCTTGAATCTCTTTCATAAGAAAATGGAAGAGAACACCTGACATTTCTGGAGCAGGAGCCGAGCAGGAGTGCAGAAGAGCAGGAAGCTTGACATACAAAGAACCAAGTCAATCTGCTGCTTTTTTAGAGTAAAGTTAAGTGTTCAGCAATCCAGAATGAATCCATAAAGAGTAAAACCCAGAATTAAATTAGGGAAGTGTTAAAATTATAACTCAAACAATTCAAAGTAAAGATGGCATTAGTTTATTAACAAGTTTAGTAGGTATCCTTCAAATGAATGGTTCTCTGAAGTATGGTAGCATTTATGCTCTTTCTGATCGTACACTGACTGGGCCTATGGCAACACAGTCTACTCGACAGATGTTCACCAACTGTGAATTCTGCAGCACCTTATTTCCCTAAACTCCCAAACCTAGTACAGAACTTGCTAAGTCTGAGGCAGAGGGATATCTTCTACTGACACATAGTTCATCAAAAAGGCTTGGCACCATTTCATAACAACATCACTGACGCTAGAGTGAAGAGAGCCAGCCACACCCGAGCCATGCCGGAGACTGCGGATCCCCCTGATCTCCCAGAGACACAATCAGCCCATTCCACATCCTCAGAGTTTTGTGCCAGGGCTAAAGGCAAGAAACACACTTACATGAGGTGATGTGCTGACAAACATTTAAAAACTAATCGGGAGTGGGGAGTTGGTTGTAGAGTCCCACAGTTTCTGTGGTGTAACAAATTTTGTGGCTTGCAAAAAATCTCTGAAAAATTAGCAATCAGCTCTTGCAAACCAGTAAGAGTTAGGTCCAACAAGCAGAACACTGCAAAAATGTTTTATAAACAATGGTGAAAATAATTGAAGTCCAGACTATTTCCTAAGTCAAACCAAGTCAAATCAAAACATCTACTGGCTTCCATGGGCAAAGTAAAGTGTCCCTGTGGTGATGTACCCCTAAGACAGGCCAGGGCTGCACAGGCCGGGACACCCCTTCTGATGCCGGGAGCTGCAGGCTGCATTTTGCTTCCTCGCCTCACGTCCACAGACCCAGGGCTGCTCTGGGTCTCCGGCTCCCAGGCCAGGCCTGGGCGGTCTGCCTTGAGGTCTGCTACACAGGCCCACCATCAAGGTGCTGAGGCACGAGTTCAACTAAGCCAAGCCAGGCTAGAAGGCTGAAGTGGGGCTAGCAGCTGTCAGCTCTGCACAGCCTCCCTGGCCCTGTGGCTAGCCACCTGCTGTCATATTCGCACACCAGCGAGTACCTTTCCTCCTCGTAAAACATGGCTTCAAGAAGGCCCATGACAATGGGAGTAAAATTTCTAAGTATCAAGGATCATCCTGAAGTATGGACAAATATTTAAGATGAAGAATACTTACAAAATATTACCCATAACATGTTGAAAAACTACTTACACGAAGCCTAAGACTAAATGCCTAGACAGGTCAACTGCAGGGAGTCACTTTTATACCGAAGTACATTGTGTGTATTTTAAACACCTCCAACTTATAAATGCCTTAAACCATAGTTCATGAACCTTTACTAAAATAGGGCATTACTCCCCCTTTTCTGGAGAAATCACATATGAACAAGAAAGCAGGCACCCTAGTTCTGGTGAGGTGTTTGTTCTCAAGCACGGCTGCATTTGAGGGTGCATTACTTCTCTCACCAGTTGTGCTGCATTTATAGAGGCTGTTTCAGTACCCTGCACAGGGACATGAGAGCATATGTGGAAGTAGCTGCCATGAAATAATCTAAACAAAAAAACAGAGAGGGCAAATGGGATTTGCTCAATGTTAATTTTTTTAGTTGACTGCTTAAGCTGTAAAATACTCTTGACTTTTTTTAGGTTACAGATGTTTATCACTAAAAATGAGTAATATTAGTTAATTTAATTAATGAGAAGTATGGAAATGTTTTAGAAAATGCAGACTGTTATGGAGTAGTAAAAACACTTTCATCTATTTTAAATTCAAAAGCTGTATGCATCTTTCTGCTAACATTATAGTAATATTTTTTCTTAAAAGCAGGATACAGAGCACTGAGTTCCTTTACAATTTCATCTTTTTTGATCAGATTACCCTCAACCCAAGTAGTTCTATTTGACTCTATCACCATCTTTGTAGGAAGACGAAGATGGTAACTGTGTGTCCCTTCTACCAGACACAAGGGTGGAATTAAGAGTAAACAAATGCCCTCTGACCATTAAGCACATGAGACCTTGACGAAATCCTTTACCAAAACAAACAACCAGAATGGGAAAAACTGCAATGCCCTCTTTACTTATAACGAAAGACCTCATGTAGGAGACTTAAATTTTTCTGGAGCTTGCCAAATTCCTGATAGCTCTCTCTAGGAATGATCTACTCTCCAGATGAGATACTAACTCCATGAGTCTTTTCCACTTTTATAAACTAGTTCTAATCAACAATGTTGGAAGTTCAGAAAGCTGTTAGAAAAATGATCCTCCTAAAAAAAGAATTACCACCTAATGGCACTGGCTAGATGCCATCTGTGCACTGCCTGGGGCTCCTCAGGCAAGGGCTGCACGCCAGGATTCCCGCCCCCTTCCCATGGGAACCAGGCTCTTTCCTCCGACCCTCTCTCTGCAGAGGTACTGCTGACTGCGGGTCGGCTCGGTTTGGTGGTTAGCTCCAGAAAATATGAAAATCAGGCCTACGACCCACGGAGGCTGGGGGTGCCAGGCCCCTGGGGCCATGAGAGCCCATGGGAGGCCCTGAGCAGCGCACACACCGTGGGGAGAGTCCTCCCGGGACCCCCCGAAACTGAGGTCCCCGCAGAGGTGCACTGGGGAGGGCCGAGGACACATGGACGCCAGCGGAGCAGGACTACCTGGTATCATGGGCACTGCTGGCGGGTTTGGGCGGCGCAGGGTCGCTGCCCGAGGGGCCCGGGCGCCCAGCAACGGCGACGGCAGTGACAGCAGAAGCAGCAGAGCTGCCGTGGCCCCGCGCATCCGAAGGCACGCTCCGAGTGCTGAAGCGAGAAGAAGAGCTTCAGGAACACAGAGGACAAGAGGGACAGATGCTCGGACAGCTTTCAGTTAAAAATAAAACAGGGTGAGGAAGTGAAAACTATTTAAATATATCAAATGCAAATTGTTCTTTGATTGAGATGCAGGTCTAGGTGTGAAAAACTAATTTCAAACTAATTACTTTTAAAAATAACTATGGTCCTTTCCTAGCACATACTGTCTGATAAAATTAACTTTTAAAAAGTGATTTTTCCAGAGCAGGGAAAATGCTCACTACCTCAAGATGCAGAAATGCCACCACATTCAAGGTAAGTATTTTTGATGTACTAGAGTTTCTGAACTCACTTAAGTATTTAAGTCACTTCATAGTTATATACATACATAAAAGTCAAGACTGGAAAGATCATTCCAGCTTTTTCTCCACTTTTAAACTGCTAGTTAGTATTGTTTTTCAAATATTTACTATGGTATGCACACTCAAACTTGTTTTCCAAAGGTCATTTTCAAAGAAAGAAAAAGAAAGAATTATTCCAAAGCTGGAAAGCATTTAGTAATAGCTTAAGGTTAAAAATAAGCCGAGAAGCTAAGTTATCTTGAAAGGTCCAAGTCCATTTTAAATTTGCATGCCTTTTTCTTTTATAAGGCACTGTGGTATGTCTTCAAGATAACATAAATGAGAACTTATAAAAATATATGAACAAGAACACAGAAAAACTACACATCAAAGCAAGCATCCAGTGGCTTTCAGAATATGAGCATGCACAACAGAGAAGACTCGACAGAGCAAGTGACTAGATAAGCACCAAATACCTGAATCCCTCTGGAGTCGGGATAATTAGATGTGGGTTAGGAGGGTCACTATGGCATCGAGGTACCTTCACAGGACGGGGACTGTTCCGATGAATAGCTGCCAGCGAAAACAGTGACAAATGAAACTTATTAAAGGCATCAACAGAAACTTCCAAACCCAGCAATTAAAGGACATAGGATGTGACTTAATTTTGCTGGTGACCCAAATAAATCCATTATATATGCAAGAAAATCATACTACATATACGAATCTTGTGGAAAATGTCACTTTCTGAAAGTTGGATCACACATTCAAACTTTTATCCACCAAAGCCAATTTTAAAATCCTGGAGTGAAAGTATACAACATATGCAAAACAAACCACATAACCCATTTTGAAGACTGAAAATGTGAAAATGTGGCTTATGTAGCATGTCACTAATAAAAAGGAGGTTTTCATGTTATCCATACTTTTAAAAAGATGCTGGTTGGTAGTGACACTTCAACAGGTCCTGAGTTGGGGAAGACGCTGTCATTTTCCTGAGTCATGAGTTTTACTTAATTCCTTTAACAAAACTAAGAGGATCAGGCACAGTTTAAATTGGTTATTCTTTTTTCAGAACATGTTGTTTTTCTCCTCTTCTTTTAAATATTCTGGTAGAAGGTAAATGTGGATAAAATTTAAAGCAAAATTCTAACACTATATAAAATTAAAAGTGAAATTTAAAAGTGACCGTACCAGGACCAGGTCACCAGGTCACTGATGGCTCTTGCTCCCCCAACCACTCTGCCACCAGCAATGGCCGAGGGCTCCACTGGCTCCCTTCTGCCTGACATATTTTCCTCTTATTTCTGACTTCATTTTAACGCTCCTTAACTCTTTTAATGTCACATTTTCTCTTCATATGTTAATAATTTTAGTCTACATATTTTTTATTTTAAATGTTTCATCCTAAGTAGAACTACTTCCATGGTGTTTGTTTACGTTTAATAACATTACACAGGAATAAACCGAAGTACCAAAAAAGGAGAGATCAGAAGGGAAAACTTGCAAAACAAAAATCACACGATTATTGAAAAAAAAATTCAGGCCATTTGTGTTCCCTAGCCTATTATCTCCATTACCACAATAGTAAACTGAAAAAATTCCAGTAGCAACAAAGGGTAAAAAGGAAAACAACAACAACAAAAATGATTTGGTGAGAACGGTGATGTCTTGAACCCAGCAAACATACTGGGAACTACTGACTTAAAAATTACTACAAAATTTTCCAACAAAGGTATAAAATGAAAACTTTCTGTTAAAACACATACAATGTTTAACATTCTTCATGTTTGAAACAAAACATTTCTTTTAAGAATATGGATATCTAACTGTTGCAAAACAGTGATACTCCATTGAAAAGAAAATCCAAATAGCCAATAAACACAAAATAGCTGCTTAAATTTCACTAGTGGTGAACGTTTATTATAGAGATGTTTCTCATGGCAGAACCTAACAAAATGAATACCCATATGGAAATAGTGGGACAGTTATAGTCACCCGTAATGGGCACAATGCAGTCACAGAGGAGAATGAATTGGGTCTATCCCTACTGACACGGGGGAATTTCTATAATAGGTAAGAAAAATAGGAGATTAATATCCAATGTGATTCAATTTTTACACAGTAGAAGAAACAACCCTATAGATGTTTGTGTGATTATATAAGCCTGAAGCGAGGCATGGTAGAATGGGTCTGTTTAATCATATGGAAGGCTATCTAGCAGATCATTATCATTAGAACATGGGTCGAGCAATAACAACAAAAACAAAAATGACAGTTGACATGCTCATTCAGTAATTCTCCTGTAAGGAAAAAGTACAAATGCAAACGACTGCCAAGTATCAACACTACAGGTTATAAAATGCTGTGACCTCACTGAATCCTCATCAGCATCCAGGTTTAAGCATTAGAAGAGGAGGTTCAGTAATATTCAATGAGCAGCCCCAGGTCACTCGACTGTCAGGAGATCTGACTCGCAGCCCAGTGCCTGTCTCCGCCATCCCAGCAGCCACGGGGACAAGGACACCTCCGGCCTACAGAGAGTACTATCGACCACCTGAGCTAAAAGCATTCATAGAGAAGTGCAGTGAACAGCTAGTGATTCACAGTTAGCAGTGAGACCTGTGAACCAGGGGGCCATAAGCATTTTTTTTGTAATATTTTTCTACAATGAAAATGATTCCTTATGCAATAAAATATTTTAAAGAAGTAATTTTTACTGAATTAGTGTTCATACATTCTTAGAGAAATATTCCAGGAAATGAGAAAAATCGAAGTACTTAATCAAAATTACTGAAGTATTTAATAAAAATATGCTTAATCAAAGTCAAATAAGAATCTACCATTTTTTATATAAAATACTCAACCAATTTTACAAATGATAACTCACTTCAAAACAGCCTTGGGAGAAAAAGAGGTATAAACTGAAGTGAATTTTAGAGAGAAAGAAGTTAAGCTCTAAAACCTGTCTACTAAATTTTCTATAGCTAGCAAGTTCCCTTTAAGAAAGTAAAACTAAGGAGGAATTTACGTTACTGGGGAAACTGGTACTCAGGAAAGCTGTGGGGAAAACCAACTCCTCCTTCCAGAGACGAGGAGGGTGGGACAGATCGCTCACACTCACTCACCAGCCACAGCAGGCAAGGCCCTCGCTCCTTAACGGAAACTCACTTCCAGAAGAAAAGATTTTAAGGGGGAGAATAGAACAAGAGTGTTGGTGTGCAAAATCAAAAAACAAAACAAACTGAAGTTTAACATTGTTGACAAGCACCGACTATCTTGCGTTAAGATTTTAGTCTTCCTGTTGGATTTTGAGAGACTGCTGTGGAGTTCTCTCTATATATACTTCACGCCTATCAATTTCATTGTCATCTTCCTGGATATTCTTAGAGAACCTCCACACCAGTTTAGATGGCTACTATTACAAGACGATGTGCTCACCCAAACCAGTAGGTTCTAGGAGAAATGCTGTGACTGCTGTCTTACCAAGGTACAAACCTGTAACAGGACTGTGTGGCTTTCCTATTACGTGGCCAATGCATTCATTCATCAGGGCTTGTAAACTCTAGAAACCAAAGGAAATGGGAAGGGGGAAGAGAAAGAATGTAGTTTCTCTCAATTATAGAAGTAGCACAAATTCAACTTTCAGAATAAGAAATATTCTATCCTTAACAAATATTTTCAAAGTTAGTTTAAAAGAACATAGGTATGAACTAAACACAAACTGTATATAATTTAAAATCACATAATAACAATTCCATTTTTATAAGTGAAAGCAAATGAGCATTCCACTCTCCGTAATGTGAGGAGGTGCACAAGCAAGGGACTTCTGTCATCATCTCTGCTATCTGGAGGCTAAAATGAATGAATTCACATTGGAACATCTTTTTGATCTGATAGAATTTACCAGAATAACAGTGATAATTTAACAGATGGCATTTTGCTTGCAAATGATGCACAATGAAGTAAAAGACCCAATCATCGTTTTCCATTAAACTGCTAAAACACAGCAACATCCTCAGCACTTTATAAAATACGAAAGTTTGACAGATATTTTAGAAGCATCAGGCTTCACAAGCTATGCACTGACTTTAGTCAGTTCACTAATATTGTTAGAGGAAGAAAAGAACCCTGAATATCCTACTATGCTACAAAGAGTGCTTTAAACTTCTCGCCACTGCCATTACAATCATGTAAAAAATATTTAAGAACCACTGTTAAATATTTAAAAATACACAATCAGGAATAGACAGTGACCAACGTATTTGTTTTATAATGAAAAAAAAAATCAGAATATTCCATACCAAGAAATCATCTTCTGGCAAAGCCGAAATAAAGGCAGGTTCGATGGCTTGCAGGAAGTCAAAACCTTGAGTTGCCCACCTATTACGCGAAAGAGTTCAGTCACCAGAAACCATGGAAGTCATAGCACTTTAGTCTGTACAGAACTGAGAAGGGATCCAACTGGAAAATTACCAGTTAGGACAAAACCTGCATTTTGTCTCTAGAGAAATGCCTATGGTTGAGTAAGTTTAGAGTATGTTCTGGGAAAGAAGGGCAAACACTTCTCAAAAGAACAGGTCACCAATTTGTCTTCCATTTACTCTAAGTAATAGGCTTAAATTTTGTGGGAGGGAGCATCATCAGCACTGAGGAAGACCTGGCAGGCAGAATGCGAACTGCCGGGAGGATAACTCATTTTGGAGCAATTTTTTTTTAAGTTTTCCAAAAGTTATGAGGTTTTCCACATAAATAGTTTTATTTTTTTTAAAAAAAAAACACAATCCCTGATCATCAAAAAGCTCAAATGCTCTTTTTTGTGTCATTTGCTCAGAAATCCCACATAGAATTTAAGATTGAAATACTATCATTCCCACACGACTCACGAAGGGAACAGCCTAGTGGGTCTTGTAGCCACTTGGTCTTACCTGGGTCTTGTACCTCGACCGCTCTCACATTTAGTCAGGACATAATTCATCCATTTCCGGGCAAAGCTTATATATCTGTCTCCTATCTTCTGTTTAAACTCTCCAGACATCAAACGAACCACTTCTTTATGATACTGTAAGATTTCATGTACATCAAAATAAAGAAAACAATTATACAAGTACCTAAACACTGTAATGCCACATCTGTTTAAAATGTCATTTTTCTTAAAAACAAAAGGCAAAACCCAATTACAATTTACATATTCTGAAGAGTATGAAGTGTTATAGAGAACATAATGTCTTAAAATGCATTTGCACAATGTTTTACTCATAGGTTTAAACCAAGAATGTGTTTTTATGATAGTAAACATCTCTTAAAGAAAGCTCATAAATCTAAGTAGATAGCTGTTAGCACAAAATAAAAACTCAGCAACTGACATTTCTGATGTTCAGCACTGGTATAAGATGACATTCTTGACAAAGCTGTGATTACAATCACATCTGCTATACAAGATACATGATACTTTTGTAAGTTACAAAGCAATGCTTAAGTTATTACCCATTTTCCTCTTATTTTGTACCTACCTCAAACCCAAAATTGTACCCCTGAATCATTGCTTCTCGGTAGTATTGCTGCAATGTGACAGACTCAGATTCATCAACTTCAGCATCAAATTCTGAAGTGAACATGTGGTCCACTCGGTCAATGGCATCACTTATTCTGTTGCAAAGCTCTAATGCATCATTCTAAAGAGTCCCAAACAATAATTAATCCAAAATAAAGCAAATCACACAATACGTACTCTATTTTAGAGAAAGATTTTTTTCATTATCACAGACATGTTAACCATTGTGATGTATTACAACTGTTTTTTTGGTTATTCAAAAGAAATGACAAAAAGTAGAAGAAATTATATTATTTTCATTTTTATTTGTATTAGGTATTCTTTAACATTTTATGAAGAACAGGAGGAAAAACACCCATTTAAAACAATAATGCCTCATTACAATATGGTCTTTCAATAGATGCTTTTGTCTTCAATATTTATGCCTATCAACCAGCAGTTGCTTTTTCCCCTGGGTGGTTGCGGAAGCTTAAGTATGGTTTCAATCCCAGAGGGAACCGAAGACGTATGTCTAAATGACCGCTGCAATGTGACCGAGTCACACTGCCCCTCCCATCCCTCTGCTACTCCCTCACTCAGAGGTTCTCAACCAGGGCTGGTTCTACTCCCCACCAGGGGACACTGGCCATGTCTGGAGATATTTGTGGTTGTCAAAACTTGCGGGGATGGGGTGTGAACTCTACTGGCCTCTAGTAGGTAGAGGCCAAGGATACTAAACACACTACAGTACAGGACAGCTCCCTAAAACAAACAGTTATTGACCTAAAATGATAGTAGTATAGAGGTGAAAACTCTGCTCTTGTCCCAGCTTTGTTGCCTCCCTACAACACTGCAATGGTTCCAAACAGGGCTCCCTGTCTATCCACCCCGAGGCGCCATGTACGCATGCGCGGTCCAGCAGGTAATCCCCACGTACTGCTCCACACCACCATTCCTAAACCCTCACCAACTCTCTGTGGCTTAGAAAATAAAATCCTAAATCTCTTAATAGCTTCACTTTTGCCCACCTGGTTTTACCAGCCTTATTTCCCACTACCTTCCACTGCATACACAAAAACCAGCCAAATCAGACCACCTAATACTCATGAGCATTACTGTGACCCTGACCCATGGGCACTGATCCCAAATATTCTTCTGTTAGTTAAGCCCTTCCCAGTTCCTAATATTTTGAAATCCTTCCAACTTAAATGTCTTCACAGTGGCAATTCCTGAATGTTAACAGGAAGAGTTCATCTTTCCCTCTTCTGCACTTCAGGGTCACAGTTCAGGTCTTTTAGGCTTAAGCCCAAGAAAAATCAAAATCTTAAATCCTTAAGCCCAAGAATAATCAGAATCTTATATAATTTTGCACTCCTCCAGAGCTCACTGACTCAAACTAAAAGAAAAGGTAAAAGTTCCCTGCCTTGGTATTGGAGTGGAATGATAATCTGTAAGAGAATTAGGCTGCTAGATAAATAAGATAATCAGATTAACAGAAGAAAACAAATACTTATCAAACTACATGTAATTTCAAGAAGTGTTTTTCTTCAAGAAGTCAAACCTTAATGTGACTGATTTATGACAAGACTGATGGCCTGTGGGAAAGTGAGGGTGAGACCAAGATTGGTAAGCAGAGTACAGGACAGAATCTAGTGAAAACAGAAAATGATGGGAAGAGAAGGTGAGGCTCTGGCTTGCCCTGAGCTTTGAAGGCCTTTGTGCCTTTCTACTATATTTAATTTGGCTGAATTATTTGTTAACCAAAAGGATAAATACATCTTCCTTTAGATTACACATTATTGGAGTACCTCTAGAAAATACTGGTAATTGCTAAAGAAGAAAGAAACTTGGATTAGGAATGAAGAGACCTAAATTCCAGTATTTACTTTGCTACTAACCAGCCATGTGACCATTAAGAAGTCACATAACTGTTCAAATTTCTGTCCTTTCCATTCTACAGTTCCAGGAAAGATTCAGGAAATTTTAAGTTTGGAAATAGAAAATGTGTACTGGGAAGAGAAGGAAAGTGGTGAGGACAATTTAAGAGCTCAAACCCCTTAAATGACATTACATGTTAACACTGCTTTTTCCACAGCATTACACCCAATGTAAGTAAATTAGCCAAGGAGCGCTGAGGGTGAAATACCTTCAGCTGCTGCAAAGCTTTGGCGATGACTGGCTGACTGGACGTCTGCTCCTGGCGTAGAGTCATGAGCCCCTCAATGGACTGTTGGAAAGCTTTTCTCTGAATTGTGAGATGGGAAGACTGCATGACAACTAGTAAGAGATTATCCACCTGGAAGGAAAATCAAGCACAGGGTTTAAAAACGAACCCAATTACTGTTTCCCCATTCTGGTTCAGCCCTCAACCAAACACAATGTCAACCTCAGCAGGGCTACCAAGCCAACAACCATCTGATCCAAAAGCAGTTTTTAGGCAAAGCTGCTCCCATAGAGCCACGCACTGCCATGGGCCCTGATGTCCAGGACCTTCAGCACAATGGGGAAGAGTCCCAGGAGCTGTGTGGGCATGATGTCTTTGAAATATCCTCAAACCCCTAGTCATTCAATATTCCTGCTGCAGAGAGAGAGAGAGAGAGAGAGAGAGAGAGTGTATGTGTGTGTGTGTGTGTGTGTCTGTGTGTGTGTGTGTGTGTGTGTGTCTGTGTGCGAGTGTGTGTTGTGTCCAGGCAGCATGTGAAAATGGGCAACACAGGAATAAGAATGGGATCAGATGAGAGGCCCTGTATAAAACAGTAAGAAATCACGATTATTTTTTCTTTATGTGACAGTGAGTCATTGCAGTATTTTGAGTAGAGCCGTGATGTGATAAGATGTATGTATTATAATGATCATTCTGAAAGTACCCAAACAAGCAAACAAATATAGAACTGGAAAGAGTGTAGGTGAGGCCCGGAGCAGGGGAACTAGAAGGTGGACACTGCAATAGTCCAGGAAAGGGGAGGCAATGTCAGACTTTGGCAGTGGCTCTGGATACGCAGCAAAGGGTCATTTACTGGAAATGCCTCAGGCTTGCTACAGCTACTGTTTAATCAGAAGGGTGGTGGGCTGAATGCGTATTACTGTCACGTTCTGGTCTGAACAACTGAGGGGACACAGCACTATTCACTGAGATAGGGAGATGTGCAGAATCTAGCAGACAGCAGGCCAGGGTGCTCAGCTCGGGCCAGGTTGCACTTGAGGGGCACCTGAGCGCCCACCACCACTGTCCCGACCTGAGCACCGAGAAGATGAGAAGGCTCCTGGCCATTCTAAGCAATGAGTGCTATGAATTGTCATGGGCTACCTGTCAGGTAAGGGATGCGATCGCCTTTACTACCAAAATGAGAACTAAATGGTAAATCACCAGAGTACTTAAAAAGCTGGGATTCCTGGAACTAAAATTAGATGAGTAAGACACTTCCTTTTACATCATAGGTATAGAGACCTAACTACATGGCTAAACCAAGAAAAGTTAAAAATTAAAATATTTCAATATTCCAATGTAATTTAATATACATACAGAATTTGATGGCATCTTTTAGTAAAAATTATGCTTAAAATTATCTATTAAAACACTGAGACATATTTTGGGGAAGTGTATACTTAAGACTAGTATGGCAGTTAAACAAGTCATTCATGAGATGCTAGTAATTCATTTTTCCTGAAAGTGCTTTCAGTGATAGTGCTTTAAGGCAGAGGGTGGGAAGCAGTGGACGCGGGAAATGGGAGTGACACACACCTGCATACTTCTCAGGGTATCAACAGTCTCCACCTGAGGGACAATTTTGATGGGCTGTGCTTCCCACATGGCCCAGCTGTCACCTGCATCCCGAGTGCGATCACCGTGCTTGGTGAGAAGTAGATACGCATCAATCAGTACATCATCAGAGTCTTTTGAGCAGTCCTTTCCTGCAGCTGCATTGAGTAACTTCAAAATGATGCTCTTCTCCTCAGCAAGGGTGTCTGGAACAAACACCTGCAAGTTTTCTAAGCCAGGAATCTGTACCTGGAAGACAAACAATCCAAAACCTTAAGTTAAGAAACGTCATACATTATACAAACGTTATGTCAGGTTTCGGGGGGAGCTGCTGGGCTGCAGGCAGCTGCGCTGCGTGTGACTGGAGGAGGGACGCGAGTGTGTGAGCGGGCTGTAGGGAGGCCTTGTGATGCTCCCCCACTCGGGGCACCCTCCAACTGCTTTATTTTTAACAACCAAGAAGACACTCTTAGGGGAGGAATGTCAGCCTGAAACGACCACAATCAATGCTGGTTTGTGATGCTTATGGAAAGTCACTTGACTCAATAAAAAGGCAAAAAATGTTACTACACATTCACTAGTTATCCTCAGTGGGGGTATCATAAAAAGCTACTTGAAGATCATTTTAACAAGGAACATGTGATTATGTTGTGCAAATGACATATAAATGTGAATAGGATAAAACTGGGGACTTGGAATAAAATTTCCAGTAACAACATCATACACAGATCCTAGAAGTGCTAAATTTGAAACAACTTCAATGGAAGCAAAGATGGTGACTTGAATAGTGGCTCTAGTCATGACCAGGACACTGGTGTCACAGAGTCATGTAAAAGTTCAAATTGTTTCAGGGAATGTGAGGGTGAAAAACAAAACAATTTTTTAAAATCAACATATCATTTTTATATACATTATTTAAAATATATATGTGTAACTAATTTAATAAATAGTATGAGAAAATATAAGTAAATATTTGATTATTTTATCAATACTCAAAGCAAGTTAATAAATATGAAAATCTTTGTTTTTCTAATTATTTCCTTGGGAAACTATGGGATAGTCTTAAAAGTGGGGTCAATGTATGGCCTGCAAAGTTTAAAATAATTATGATCTGGACCATTAAGAAGTTTGCCAGTTTTAGAGTAAAGTCAGGCCACACGTGTCAATTACACCATCTTAAATATTTACCTTAACATACTGTTTTGATTTCAGAACATCCAGAAGGTCTCTGACGGGGGCTGAGAGTATGAACTCTGCTGCTATTTCCAGGTCCTAGGATCACAGTTACAAAGAAAGTTCTTTAGGGTCAGCTTTTTGAAAAACAAGAAAAAATGATAATTGAATCAGAATTGGTAATTAACCTTTCTCAACATTTTTGCAAATCCAAGTGCTTTGGAGGCTCTTTCCCTGGCTTCGTGGAAGAGCTCCTTCAGTGCCCGGCTGATCTCTATAACAGATCTCCTGCAGAGGTAATTGACACCTGGTCAGAACACACTGGAGCATACTGAGGAATAAATGGCAACAAAGGAAGCGAATTCCAAATCACATTAACAAAGGCTGAAGATTTTATAAAGGGGAGCAAGCAATTACTGAGAATGTACTCAAAACATTCAGAATCTTGCTCCTGTAGTTTTCTATAAAGTACTTACATTCTTTAAATAAGTAAGGGACATTTAAAAACCTTCAAATAACAGTAAGCTCAGTTTTTTAAAGATTTCTTTATGATAATTTCTTGGGAGTCTCAGAGGAGTTCTTGACTCCCAACTCATATTCTAACTAAAAAAGAATACATGCAAGGGTGGGCTGGTAAATGTTTAATGACTGCCTGCCCTCAAAACTTATTGTCTTAGTTGGTGTTTGCCAATATCGCGGTACATATATTTCCATGGTAAATGATTTCAAGCTACCAGAGTGGACGACATCACTGAGTGATGACGTGGGAAGGAAGTACACAGTCGTCACACATCAGCTCCCTGGAGCCATGGTAAGCCAGCCCCTGCATGAACCCCATTTAGATCCAACCCTGTTAAACAATCAGAGCATCATAAGTGCTATTCTCTAGCTCACCATCTTACTTCCTAAATTGCTGTGTTTATTTTGAATTTACCACATTAGCTCTCAAAACTGCAAGACCTTCTACAAACTGATCCATCCTGTTTCTCAGCTATTCAGCATTTTCCCAGGTGCTATTCTATGTGCTAACTTTTCTTTAACCCTGGCATAAAAATATCCCAGGTGTTCTGACACCCAAAATGTGTTTTTCATTAGATTCTGGATAGCGAGAGGAAACATGTCAGCTCTAGATCAGTCAGTTCCAGCTAAGCACTTCCTAAGACTGGATCATACGATAGTGTTGACAAATGGCCACAAAATGGCTGCATGGCTCGTAAATATACCACAAAAACAGCAATTTAACATGGTCCAGTCTAAATGGTATCTGCATAGAATTGAAGGAAATGCAGTAAGATAAGTAAAGCCCTCGTTTGATGTACTTAAGCTTAAAGTTCAACAGAAGGGACAAGAGCTAAATATAAAAATAAAATGTACCAAGTGTCAGTTAAGTGCATAATGAGACTGCTATGGGGGTTTTAAAGGACAGAACATAATTATTTAATTGAAGACATTCTAGAATACAAAGATGAATTCTACTATACTCATTTTAGACTCTTTAAACTACCTATCTCTTTTTCTACAGATCCTATTTTTATTAGGCTAAATAAATTTTAACACCTTCAAAGAAAATTCATACAAAACCATAACTAAGAGATCATACGAAAAGACAGGCAAAAATAAATAAATCCCTTTAGGTCTACTAGCCATTCATAAAGCCCAACCCCACATGGTTTGAACAAGGCGCACTCTAAGTTTGTCACCGAGAGCAGAACTACATGAAGGAAGACATGGGGGAGGAAAGAAGGCGCGGGCGCCACCTTATTTCATCTGAAGCACTGCTGTCATCAGCACTGGTCCAGAACTCAGCACAGTTCTCCTGCAAGCCAAACTCCAGAAAACTTCCTGTAGATTTCAGCAGCATTCCTGCAATGTCACTAAGGGAACAAAAACAACAAAAGTAAACCAAAGAAGAAAAATGGTCTTCACTCATTCTAATTCTTTGATAAAAACACTGGAAGTTACAACTACTGTTTCAGTAATTTAAAAACCAATAATAGTGACAGTTTTCTTTTAATATACAATCATGATTAAAAAGGATAAATCTCAATATGGTATATATCTACCTTTGTTCTACTACCATAGTTTTTCATTATAAACTTTAAAATCTTAAATTACATTCATAGTAGCTATGTATTATTATACAAATGTTATTTCCATGTCCAACGTTTAAATGATATAAAGTAGCCTCAATTATATGACAAGATGTTTATTAAAAGCTTAATAAACTAAATGACAGCATAAGAAAATAAAGTGAACTCCTTAAATGCAAGGATTTTTAAATGTTTTAAAAAATGTCCCTCACAATCAGCTTTTCATAGTCAATGAACATGAAATACCCTATAGCTGACCTTCTCCCTGAATATACTATCTAAATCCTAGGGTTAAAATGGAAACCCAAAAGTCTAAAGGAGTGTAGTAAAAATGCAATTTCTGTGGTGTACAGTGAGCAAAGGAGAGGCTAGTAGGAGATGGGGAAAGTATTTCATGAAAAGTCAAACTGTATCAGGCCTTATGGGCTATTGCTTAGGTGCTCTATGGATATGGGACTGATCTGAATAGGAAGCAAGACAGACTGGGAATCATGGCCTGAGGGATTCGGAGAGTTCTGAGACCAGAGCAAGCTCACTATTCACTCAAAATAGAGAAAGAGAAGACACAAGAACTGGTGATTAGGGCAGGAAAGTGAATATATGACACTGAGCACAGGACAGAGATGGGTAGCACTGAGAGCAATGAGTTTTGGAAGTCAGAAGAGAACTCCATGTGAAAGCTGAAGTCCTAAAGAAGGCACACAAAGTGGGAAAGAAAATATGGGCTGGGTATAAAAGGACTTATAAAAAGGAGTCAGAAAAATGAAATGGCTAATGAAGCAAGTGAGAGAAAACAGCACCAAAAGACAGCAGCAGAGTCTAGAGCCACAGAATGAACTGATCCTGTCAGTCAGCAGAGGAATGTCCCCCAGAAAGACCCAAAATGCACCCACATTTGACATTCAGGTGCCTGTCCTGGAGAAGATGCATTCATTTTCTAGAACAAACTAACCAGTGAGCACACTCCCCCCATTATAGTTTTCCTGTGTTTATATTTCTAATCTTTCACCATATATATACTCAGTTTGTAAAGAGATTCTGTGATTAGCATTACATTCCCAAACAGTATCAGTGAAAATACACAATTCTTAGTTTCCAAATGTCCCCCACTGAGACTGATTGATACACATAGCTCTAAAAGTCTATTCTACTCTTTGGAGGCCTTAGATTCTCTTTTTAATATATAACCAAGAGATTTACTCTAAGGCAGGATTTCACAACTTCAAAACTGACATTTGGGTGCATGATTTTTGTTTTGGGGCTCTCCTGTGCACTATAGGATCTGCTCACCAGACACCAGTAGTACTTCCAAGTTGTTACAACCAAAACTGTTTTCATACATTGCCAAATGTCCCCGGGGGGCATGTCACCCCTGGTTGGGAACCACCACTGTAAAGATAACACAACTTGGGTGGGAGGCACACAGCAGAAATGAACAATGTCGACTTCATGTAACTAAGCATTCAAACGTTCAGAAGAGAAGTGGTGAACGAACCAGGGAGCAGATGAGCAAGGAAGGCGGCATGCTCAGGAGCATAAGGATTCCTACCAGAAAAGTTTTCCAGCCTGTGCTTCTCCTCCCCGGATGTAATGGGTTATTTCTTTGGTGAAATTCCATTCTTCTTCTAATAGATTTTTTAAACTATGGGATGCTTGAGGTAACTGCTGTAGCATTTGGATCCAGCTTCTCATGTAATCAAAATACACCTTAGAATATAAAAATGTAAAGGGAAATATTTGAGAATAGAATTCAGCAACTCACTTTCCCCTCTGTTAACCTGAAAGCCACAAATAAGAAGGGAAAGATGCAGGAAAGATCACTGAGGCAGGCAGCATTGAGAAAGCGAGATTCTCGTCATCCTCACTCATGTCCAAATGAGGGTTTTTCTTCAGCTGTATAACTCAACTCCTCAGCAACTTAACACATTATTCACAAACCCTTCAAATTACTAATAACTAATGTGTTCAAAATGCATAGGGAAAGTACAATAAAGAAAATCAAAATAATAGCACACAGAAATTTTCATTAATAATAATATATTAGGAACATTATTTCTTTAAGTAGTTGGGGTCTTTACTTGCTTAACTACTTATTTAACTTTAGATGGTATCTTACACATTGAAAGGAGAAAATGGTCAAACTTTTTCCATCATTGCTTCCTGACATCCAGACTTTTACAGTATAACCTTTTCAAGGTTTATTACATATAAATTATGATCTATAACCACAATGCTCAATTTTTCTGAAGTGGGGTTTATAACCACCACAAGTCCTATTTTCAACAGCCTTCCCATTTCTAAGTTATTTTGATTTATCTGTTGCTTAGTAGGGTTCTACTATCAATTGGTTTTTCTCAAGAGAGATTCATAATTCCTGTATTACAAAACATCACTGTCTACAGATTCTTTTACTGAAAGGATAATTTGAGTGGGTATAAAATAAACAAGTCACATATCCTCTCCCTCAGAACTTCTGAGACATTACTACCTTCTGACACCGATAAAGAAATCTGATGCCAGCCTAATCTGTCACCACTCTCCCCCTAACACTAGCTTTCTCTGCTCAGATGTTTACAGGATTCTTTCTCTAGTCTTAGAGTTCAGTTATTTCGCCAGGCTGCATCTTAGAGTTCACTGGAATGAATGTTTCTGAGATCCAGAAATAACTTTCAGTAGGCAAATTTTAGGCCTTTTATTTCAAGAAAACTGTCTTCTGTTTTGTCTTTGATGCTTCTGGGCCTTCCACCATCCAGGTGTGAATCTGCGGTCTGGGTCCATTATGAGGAAACAGCTGTGTGGAACCCTCAATTTATGGATCTACCATCATCTTATCCAAATGGCACAGTCTCTTAAATGGCAGGACCTCCTTTTTGCTTCCTGAAGTGCCCCTTCCTCTCCTTGGCTTCCCTGAGGCTTGTCTCCTGAAGAATGCACTTCTCCTTTACAACCTACAGTCCTCTCAAGGGGCAACTGTCTTACCATATATACCTCAAGGGCTGCAAGCAGTTGGCATACTCATGCTCTCCACTGCTACTTTCAAATCACTACTCTCAGTCTTACTGAAAAACAAACAAAAGAAATACCCTGCCCCTTGAAGGTTTCTGTCATCAGATATACCATCAGTCCCCACCCCCTTCCACACACTGCCATCTACTGATTTCCAACTACCCATGGTCACCCATCACACTCTAGAGTCTGATTTAGTTTCCTCTCCATTCCAGGCTCAGACACCATGCTCTGTGACTTAATAATAGGTGGATAACCCCCCAATACCATTTCAGTTCTGTTTCCTACTGCTTCCGGGTCCAATCACCTCTCTTCCACTCTTGACGAGGTTTCATTTCAGATTATGTTATTATGAGACCCTCTCCAAGCCCCAAACCACCAATTTTGAAACCCTGATTCAAAAACCTCCTCTCCTTCTTCCAGTTTATTTATTCAACTACAGCTGTTCTCTTAACCTTCCCAGGGACTCCAGTCACTGTTCCTTTTCCTTCTCCAGTTCACTCCCAGTGTACAGCCCATGCATCCCCTCCAATGGTACTATGAGCACGCTCCACTCCCCTGCCACCATCCCTGCCTTTTCATCCCACCTGCCTGTCAAAACCCCAAAGCTCAGAAGCCCTCCTATCCCGTTCCCCATGCCCACGCTCACAAAGCTGAGGGCTGCAAGGGCGGCACATGACTTGTGGAAGAGGAGGTCTTCACAACCATCATTATCAACCACACAGCCTACAACATTTCTGGTAATATTTATCTCTCTACTCATTTTCCTTCTCTCTACAACCACAAGTTTGAAGCTTCTCCACTTTTCTCAAACTGCCAAAACCTACCCTCACCCATTTTCAGCAGGTGATGTCACACCTCTCCACAAAAATAAAAGTCATTACATATTAAGTCTCTCATCTTCCCAATAACCAAAAACGTAAGCCTACATACTGTTACATACTGTCCTTCCCTTAACAGACGAACGGCTCCTCCTAATTCCAACACGTGGGTTTTGAGATCCCTCTCCTTACAGTACCTGAGGAACCTCATTCCATCCATTTCCCTTTTCTCTCACACACATTTCCTTTTCATGTCTTTCCCTTAACAAAATGACTCCCAAAGGCTGTTTCAAATGGTCTCAGTTGCTATCTTCAATATAAAAAACCCACCTTCTTCACTATTAAGCTTGCCGCACAAACTGAACGCCCAGCGGCCACTCTCCATAGCTCCCTTATCCAATCCCTCTCTGAATCCTGCCAATTTCACTACTGAAGTTTCTTTTGAATCCTCACCCTTCTTTCTAAATATACACTACACCAGTCTCAGCCCAGACGCACTACTAGCATAGTCTCCGACTGGTCTTCTCACATCTGCTCCGAATCCAACTGCAGCCACAATGACCCCGTCACGATGCTTTCTTGGGAACCTTCGTTCCAATGCTCTTTCAACCATAGAAGCATCTGCTGCCTTTCTGTCAGGAAGTGTTTCTTTCAGTTTCTCTTTTTTTATATTAAAAAGCATGGAGGCTTTAAGATTTTCTAACAAGTATCACCATAATGTACAAATGTTACTGTCTTGTCATATTTGCTTTGATATTTTTTCAATAAAATAATACATAACAAAGTCAATTTCTCCTTTGTTTCTTTCTTTACTTCTCTTTCCTCCCTCTCAGAGGCAGTAAGTGTGTACTCAGAATGTCTCCTTATAGTTCATGAGCTTTTTGAAACAATTTTATTACATAAATTATTTTATACATAGCACTTTTTCTCTTCAATTTCTTGCATAAATTGGATATTACATCAGCTTTCAGATAAATTCCAAGTGTCCCTTCCTCAGAGAAGCCTTTCCTACCCTCCACGTGAACTTCAAGTCCATAAAAGACCTGTGTTTCTCCTCTGTAGTGCTTTTCACAGTTGCAAGGCTAAGTTTATATGATTATTTAACAACCATTTTCCCACTCATTCTTAAGCTCCAAGAGGGAGTTTATGTTCATCACTGAATCTTCAGTACCTTGTATGATGCCCGCCTGGCACAAAGGAGGCACTGAGAAATACATGTAGAAGGGAAAACTCAATCTTTCTGAGCCTCTGCCCTTTAGTCTTCTACAAGATCACCAATTGTACATCTCTATCAAAATACCAACAGCATTCTTCAATGAACTAGAGCAAATAGTTCTAAAATTCATATGGAACCACAAAAGACCCCAAAAAGCCAAAGCAATCCTCAGAAGGAAGAATAATAAAGCAGGGAGTAATAAAGCAGGAAATAATAAAGAAGGAAGAATAATAAAAAATAAATAATCAAGACAATTTGGTACTGGCACAAGAACAGACCCACCGACCAATGGAACAGACTACAGAGCTCAGATATAAACCCAAGTATATGTGGTCAATTAATATACAATAAAGGAACCATGGATATACAGTGAGGAAATGACAGTCTCTTCAACATTGGTGTTGGCAAAACTGGACAGCTATGCAAGAGAATGAAACTGGATTATTGTCTAACCCCATATACAAAAGTAAACTCAAAATGGAACAAAGATCTGAATGTAAATCATGAAACCATAAAACTCTTAGAAGAAAACACAGGCAAACATCTCTTGAATATAAACATGAGCAACTTTTTCCTGAATACATTTCCTCGGGCAAGGGAAACAAAATAAAAAATGAACAAATGGGACTACATCATGCTAAAAAGCTTCTATACAGCAATGGACACCATCAGCAGAACAAAAAGGCATCCTACAGTATGGGAGAATATGACATGTCCGACAAGGGGTTAACATCCAAAATATATAAAGAACTCACAAGCCTCAACAGCCAAAAAGCAAATAACCCTACTAAAAAATGGGTGGAGGATATGAACAGACTCTTCTCCAAAGAAGAAATTCAGATGGCCAACAGGCACATGAAAAGATGCCCCACATCACTAATTATCAGGGAAATGCAAATTTGAACCACAATGACATATCACCTCACACCAGTTAGGATGGCCAACATAGAAAAGACTAAGAACAACAAATGCTGGTGAGGATGTAGAGAAAGGGGGAACCCTCCTACACTGCTGGTGGGAATGTAAAATAGTTCAACCATTGTGGAAAGCAGTATGGAGGTTCATCAAAAAACTCAAAATAGAAATACCATTTGATGCAGGAATTCCACTCCTAGGAATTTACCCTAAGAATGCAGGATCCCAGTTTCAAAAAGACATATGCACCCCTATGTTTACCACAGCACTATTTACAACAGCCAAGATATGGAAGCAACCTAAGTGTCCATCAGTAGATAAATGGATAAAGATGTGGTACATACAGAGAATAGAATATTATTCAGCCATAAGAAGAAAACAAATCCTACCATTTGCAACAACATGGATGGAGCTAGAGGGTATTATGCTCAGTGAAATAAGTCAGGCGGAGAAAGACAAGTACCAAATTATTTCACTCATCTGTGGAGTGTAAAAAAAAGCAAAAACTGAAGGAACAAAACAGCAGCAGACTCAAAGAACCCAAGAGTAGACTAACAGTTACCAAAGGGAAAGGGACTGGGGAGGGTGGGTGGAAAGGGAGGGATAAGGGGAATAAAGGGCATTACGATTAGCATACATAATGGGGGGGGCACAGGGAAGGCAGTACGGCACAGAGAAGACAAGTAGTGTATAGCATCTTACGACGGACAGTGACTGTAATGGGGTATGTGGTGGGGACTTGATAATGGGGGAAATCTAGTGACCATAATGTTGCCCATGTGATTTTATTTATATTAATGATACCAAAAAAAAAAAGTCGTAAGAGTATATATCAATAATACCTTAATAAAAAAAAAACAATCTCATAAAATTTTCAATTAAAACCACAAGAAGCAGAAAAGAAGTGGAAGACAAAGATGAAAATAAGGGTGGAAAACATAAAACAGTAAAAAATTTGGTAGATACTCATATAGCTATATCAAAAAGAACATTAAATGTCAATGGTCTATTATTTGTAGAATATAAAAACAGAAGAAACAAAACAGCAGTAGACTCACAGACACTGAGAAGTGACCAAGTTATCTAGGGGGAGGAGTTGGGGCGAGTTTGGGGGGAAGAGTGAGGGGGATAAGAGGGTACAATAATTCACAATCACAGTGTAAGTTGGTCATGGGGACAGTAGCATGGAGAATACAGTCAATGATTCTGTAACATCTTTCTACATTGATAGATAGTAACCACACTAGAGGGGGTGAGGATATAATAATATGGGTAACTGTTGAACCACTTGTTGTACATTTGAAATCAATATAGGATTTTATATCAATGATACTTCAATAAAGAAAAAAGCCAATGGTCTAGATATAAAAAAGAATAAAAGATCACTGATTATGCAAATCTGAGCTCTGCCTTATATCTCGACAACTCTAACATCTTGTTCATCCTTTTCGTATTTTCATTCCTTTTAAATTCTTTTTGTGTGGTTCCCTTAAATCTGTCACATGTTCCTATAACGATATTATATTTATTGTTTTGGTTACTTCTAAGGCCAGGGACAGGGAAATTAGCTAAGACAGTTCAGAGCTTTAATCTGGGTTTGGCGCCTCAAATACTCAAGTCATCTCTCAGTTTTTTGAGTCAGATGATGTGACACAAAGTAAAGGCCCAATTCACAGACGTTCCGCTTCATAACTTGCTAATCACCACTTCCCTTCACCCTTTCAACCTAGCTATCATTCCTCAGTCTTACTTGGCAAACAGGGTAAGTTCAGACAATACAAGTGTCTCTGAGTATACTGCTTATAGATTGCCACCTATGGTCCTCTATGGGGATGAGCCCTGCTTTTCTCCTGGCTGTTCACACCCCTGGAGATCACAGCTCTAATTAATCACTACACGGGCCCTCCACATCAAAATGAGATATATTTACAATTTGTATCCACCCTCATTTCAGTCTAAATTTCAAGGCAAATAATGACCATTAACAGTCCTTTTTAGAGGGGATGAGGGGAGTATTGTGGCTAATTCACTCTTTCACTGAACATAGAAGTTTTTCTTTATTCTTTATTCCTTTAGCTGTTTTTGGTGAGTTTCAAAAGAAAGGTGTTGTGGTAAACATAATCTGACTGCCTACCCAAAGGTCATTCTCTCCTTCCTTCCTAATAAAAACACTAATTTTGTTTGGGCTCCCCCAGCTCTCAAAACACGTCCCTGCCACTAGCCATCAAGCACACTTTGGGATACAATTTTAAAACCACTGATAACTTCTAGATCTTCATCTGGGAAATTACGGTGATTAAACTAAGTGAGATTGTACTTCACCCAGAAAATCCTAAGGCACCTCTAGCTCTAACTATGAATTTTGGTATTTTAATTAACGGGCTTTAGATGTCTCACAGGTACACCAAAGACCCTGAAACTAATGACCTAGGAGGCACATTTTACCTGCTTATCCTTCCTGCCTTGGTGATCACATGCTAAAAGAGGCTGTACGTGCCTTTGTAAAGCTGTCAAATACAGTTTTGGAAAAAAAAGCACATTTTGTCTTTTTAAACTTCTGATTTAATTATCTGTAGAATAAGAGAAAACAATTCACTTGCTGCTTTTTACCATAACTTTTCAATGAAAACAAGTTCTCTGTCAGAGAATCAGAATGTACCCATATTTTATACACTCTGGTCTTTTATGTATTCTCTCCAATTAGAAAATAATTCCAAATTCAAAATTACTACTGTGGTATGCCAGACAAGTTCTCTTCCTAGACACATTCTTCTTTCTCTCCTTCTACTAGAGAGGCTAGAAAGCTAAACATGTCCATTCCAGCCTCCATTACAGGTAAGAGGCCTGTACAAGACAGAGGGGAAATCTCTAGGGTGGGGCTGGGTGAGCTTTCACTGTTCTGGACTTAGCCGGCAGGGACCCTTTCCCCTTTCCCTTCTCTTTTCTTCTAACCTAGGAAGTGGAGGTGCTGGAGATGCAGCAGCTGTCCTGAGGCAGGACACAGTGAGATGTCAAACAAAGATGAAAGCATTCCAAAAACAACATGCCTGCAAGCACTATCACTGCCTGTTATTCTTCACCCTGCCACAGGACATCTACTCGAATTAGTCTAACATGTATTTGCTATAGATTAACACTGTACCACACATTACAAAGACAACCTCAAGCCACAGACCCCAGCTTATGAAGCTTTCAGTCTAATTAGAGAAACCTGGGAACAGGGCAATGGTATATCATTAACTATTAAATAGTACCCTTCTAATTATAACTGCTCTAAGAGTTCAGAGAAGGTATAAATAAATGCACACTAAAGGTTAAAACTGTCAGAGAAAGCTTTCTAGAGAAAAATAAAAATTGAAATTAAGTTTTAACTGGGCAGAGAAGGAGGAGGGGCATGTCTACCAGGAAGGCAAAATATGAGCAAAATACAGAAGCTAGAAAGCAGGTAAGCTTAGTGCATGTGAGAAGACAAGGGAGAAATAAAAATAAGTCTGTTCCCGCTATATCACATTATTCACAATTTCTCAAATTGCCAGGTTCCTCAGCAAAAGCCTAACTCAACTTTAAGATTCAGCTTCCTCATGGTAAGAAGCTCTTGGGTGTCCCCAGGCGAGTTTAGGTGTCCCATCTCAAAGTCATCATCACATCTCGGCCAAATTCCACCCCAGCACTTCCCATGCAGGGTGGTAGGACATACTCTGCCCAGATCCCACCAGACCATGAGTTTCTTATCACTCATTCCAGTGTCCCCAAAGCTGTGCAAGGTTCCTAGTGCACCCCTCGTACCACAAGAGTGGCTGATGATAGGTGGCTCAACAAAATAGGGCCAGACTCTGATCCTACTTCTGGGCCATTCCTCTATAAGACAAACTATCTTATAATCGAACAATGAACTAGGGTAAGCTTTGTCAAAAATTCTAACTTAACAATATTGAGAACTTTTTTAAATGTAGATTTAGAAGAAACACATTCTAACACTAGACGAAAGGAATCAGGTTAAAGATTAACCCCCCCACAGATGTGTAAGAACATCCCCCTCCCCCGTCTGCCCTCACCATTAACATTTTGTGCAAGTCCTCCTCAAAGGCATCGATGTTGCAGTCGGTCTTGTCCAGGTCGCCCAGCACCTCGTGCAGCATGAACTGGTAGTACTGCTTCATCAGAAGGCCGCCCTTGAGCACCTCTTTACACTCTCTCACCAGCTGCAAGGAAAGAGTCACGGGCTCTAGCCCTGCACACCTCCCAGCCAGATTATTCCTTGGTTTTCACACATTTCCTACTTAGGGCCTCAAAAAGCTCAGAAAAAGGGAAACGCTGCCACCAAAAAACCTGAAATACTTTCCAAATCTCTATCAGTTCATTTTATATAAATATCTTAGTAGGCTCAATTGAGTAAGAACAAAATAGTGAAAATAAAAGTATTTAATATTACAACATGGAAACAGAGAAAATATTATACAGGCAAACACTGATGTGCTAAAATACAATCTCCTACAAATAAATTTACATAGGAAATAAATCCCACAGGATAAGATCTATTTTTCTACTAGTTTATGTTACAAGACAAGGGATATGAGAGAAAGCTCTCCTACTGAAACTGGTCATTTTTAACCAAAAACTTAATAAAGATTCAAATATACTTACCCACCAGAGAGCATGGAGGCCTTCATAATAATTTGGCATAGTAAATACTGTGATTTGTGGCCTTTGCCATCAAAATACTCTAACAACCACAAAACAAATGAACCTAAGATTAATGTGATGAAATTAGATGGAATCAAGGAAAAAAAACTGAAACAGAACAAAAAAATGAGTAAAACCCCAATATGCAATATGAGGGCCAGCAGGTAATGCCAAAAAGGAGAAAAGGAGGCTGAAGTAAGGGGCCCTGCAAAGTCCTTCCCACTAATATGCTGGGCCATAATGTCCTCAAAATTCTCATCAGCAGGAACTGGGTACGCAGTTACACAGTTACATTACTTTTATATGTAATAGTCAAGACACAAAAGGGACTCCAGTGCTACTACTGGCAAAGTAAGCTTGTACAAACTTTCTAGAACCTAAAAATGAATGACTAATTTACTTTTATATTTTACACTCAGTAATCAGAGATAGACAAAAAGTTATAAACAAATATATTCATCACAGTATTATTTAAAACAGGGAGTAAATAAATTCTGATGTACCTATATAGTAGAGCACTACTGTAGCCATTTAAAATCTTGTTTTTGAAAGTTACTTATGGGTAAAACCTTTTTTTTTTACATGTATGTGTAGGAAATATGTACGTATACAGGAAAAACAGATGGATAGAAATACACAGAAATACTACAGTGGTTACCTCTGCATGGCAGGATAATAGGATAATTTTCATTTTTGTCTGTATAACTTTCTGTACTTTCCCAATTTTCTAAAATAAACATGTATTGCTTTTATTGAACTTTTTATCGGAAAAAAAGTTCCCCTTTAAAATGTTCTAAAATTATTATCCCAATGAGAGCAGTAGCTAGATTTAATTTATTAAAAAGTGCTCTGTTCAGATTATACAGACATAAATTTCTATGTTAAAGATGTCACTTAGGTGCTTTGAACGCATTTTGCCAAATTCTCTTCTTTTTATTCTAGTAAGGCTACATTGACCTAAGTACTGTTTTTTTATTTTTAAAAATGTTTTAACATGAACTACTGCTTAATCCTCATAGTAGCCCCTTTAGACAAAAGTAAACCCCACCTTGCTCTACCAGGTTATAGTCCTGAAATATTTGTTTTGAGAAAGAAAAGTATTTTACCAAAATTTCCTAAATTACCACTGCAACACAGAGAATAAGGGCAAAGCATGGCCAAGTGGAAGGCAGGACAATAAGCAGAACCAAGATAGGAAGAAGGAAGCAAAGCAAATGTGTAAATGGAGCTCTGTCAGTGCTGGATGGACACGAGGTGCAGGGGTCCACTTCCAAGTCCATCAGTCACCTACTCCACCTGTAACCAAGCTAACAAGTTGGCACAGTCCTATTTTGTACCAAACATACGGCCCCTCCTCAGTATGATTTCTCCCCTATGCTCCACCCTACCATTCACAGCGAAGAGGCTCCTAGCTCTTCAATCCCTATGGGATGGACACCCACAATCCACAAAAACATATCAACTTCTTTTTAATCAAAATCTGGCATGTTTATTTTATATAGTGAACGTCAACATGGTAATACTATAATGTATAAATACACTCTTCAACACTCTGATAAATATAACTGCTTCCAGCCATTCCTCTGTTACCATGGAGTCAAACTCCCTAGAAAGTCTCATTTCAAAAATTAATAAAAACTAAGCAAGCAGAAGCTCTTATTACTGATTAAACCATACAACTGTCTAAGAAAGCAAGAAATCTAAACATGCCCCTCTGTAAACTCTAAAGACGTTTATCTGTTTACATGTAGCGTATATAGAAAAATAAATAAATTTAAGGAACTTAAACTATCTTTTCTGAATGATGTTTAAGTTTCCAATCTTCAAAGATTGAAGATTTTTAGTGGGACAAAAAGAGCCATACCATCACCATACTTTTATATCCTTTTAGAATAAGAAAGGAGGTGGTAGAAAGGTTGAACCAGAGTCTTAACTCTGGGGGCTACATATAAAGAACACTTAAAATCACCCAAAAAAGAACAATTTAAAAACAGTAACACTCATTTTCCATTATTTGCAATAACTGGAAAAAAACTCCTCAAAATAAAACGAATAAACCTGCAGAATAATATAATGATCACTAAATATTTGAAACAAACCTGCTTAATACTCAGGAGAGATGGTTCTCCAGCAGGTCTCTGTTCCAATCTTAACTTCAGACACTCATGTATAACATTCAGAAGGACTCGACAGAGAACTAAGAAGGCGGGCTCGAATGAAGGTAAATCCATGGACTGAAGCTCGTCCCACGACACAGCGCTGCCTTTCTGCTCCAAGGAGGGTGGGGTCCTGGACAACTGCACGTAATCTGAACCCCACATGGGATCTGGAAATTCAGAAAACTATGACAAAAATTCAACAAAGGTTAAAATAGCTTACAGGAGAACATCCTAAAGTTGTGGTTATAAACTATTATTCTTTATAATTTGCTGACAAACCTACAAAATCATAATTTTACAGGAAAAGTAATCTTTAGGATAATTCAACATTTTCAACATAGACCCAAGAAATTCTAAAAATATTAGAAAACCATAATAAGAAATAAAACCAAATTATATTTATATTAAAAAGGCATAGTAGAAGAACTGAGTTCACGTTTTCAACATCTATTTTTTCATCATTCTTAAAATGACCAGCACACTTTAAGGTTATATACAGTATTATCCACAACTATTACTACACTGAGGAAAACAAATTAATAACATTTGAGAAAAGATTTACAAAATCACCTAGTCATTTATGTAAAAATAAAAACTAATGGATTCAACCAGTTCTTTTGTCCATTTGTTCTCCGAGCTATACTGAACAAAGCTGATAGAAAAAAAAATTCATAAAACTGACCTGGCTGGTCCCACTCAAATACATTTCCTGGGAACCCTAGTGTTGCTCACCCCCTTCTTACAGTTATCCCCATCAATTCCTTATACTTTTCCCCATAAAATAGGGGATTTGGAGCTTTCCCACTGTTCTTAAACCTCTGGAACATCATCCTAACCAATCATATTCAAACACTTTCCCTTCTTCGTTTACTGAAAAATCTGGGGTCACCAAAATTTTTAAATCTCAACTTTTCTTCAACTTAAAACATCCCTAATGATGGTTGTTCTACCTCCATATGTCATCCATCTCTGTGCTCCCTGCCATGTTGTGAACTCTTAACTGGTCTCCTACTTGTTCATATCCTTTTAAGTTCAACACATATTTTTACATTTAAATTAATGCATTACAGCAAATTAATAATACACATTCTAAAATAGCCATAAAATTTTTTAAATGATAACTTGTGGTCAAGGCTCCCTAGCACAACAGCCACCTGACCTATTTGCTACCGGCTCACTGGGAAAGAATGATCTCTACTTCTCTGCCAGGGAGACCCGACAGCCAGACCCACACAGGTGCTGTGGAAACGCACTCCTGCCAGGGATACCTGCTGGGTCCACTGCCATCTAGAGAGGAAGAGACATTGAAAAACTACTCAGCATCCAAGAGGAAACAGCAGTTTTAACTAAGGAAACCAAGGTGAGGAAATCAGAACAGCTGGTACTAATTTAATGTAGATAAAAGGAGAGAACATACAAATATTTTAATGCAAGATCTTATTTAAGTTCTCTGAAAAAGAAAACAAGATTTCTGAAATAAATTTAATAAAGGCAGTGAAAACAGAATAAATGTTGCCAAAAAGAATTAATAATTTAGAAATTATCAGTAGAAATTATCTATCACTATAGCCCAGAGAAAAAGAAAAAGAAGTGGGAATTCTGAAATAAAAAAGAGATATGGAAGTGACATCCAGGAGCTCTAACAAAAGAATGACAGGGATTCCAGAAAGAACAAACGGAAAAAATGGAGAGTTTTCTGTACAGTCAAGATATCACTAAGTGTTAAGAAGGAAAAACCACTTTCAAAGGAGAAGAACTCAAAGTCCAATTCATTTACCTGCTCTATAAACCTGAGCAAGTACAGTGGGGTCTAGTCAAATGAAAACTGCATCAGAACAAAGATCTCAAGGTAAGAGAGGAAAAACATCCAAGTACAAAGCCATGAATCCAGCAGAACTTATACAGGCAGATACAACTTCAAGATGATAACTCAGTTAAAGGCTGTAATTCCATCCCGTGAAAGGAATATCTGAATTAAAAGAAAAAATACTATAAGAAAAAAACTTGGAACTTAAATTCCTATTTCAATAAAACACAGGGAGAGGGGGAAGGGGCAATAAGGTGCAAGAATGGTGTATTTGTTATTATTCCATTCATCTGTTATTATTTCTGGTGATAAATACAGGATTAAATATAGTATAAAATCTCTGATCAATTCAGGCAAAATGGGAAGACTCAATAATTTAGGGACGTCAATAAAAAAGCAAGGTGATTACAAACATAATCCCTTGGCATTTTGTGTGGATTAACAAATTCATTAACTAAAGTTCATGTGGAAGAAAGTAATGTCTGAAAATAAAAACAGCCCAGAAGTATTTGAAAAGAAGTAATAGGAAGAGTTGCCCAACCTAATGGCAAACCTTACTAATAAACTTAGTTTATTTAAAACAGAAAAGTACTAGCACAGTAATAAACATATTAACAGACCACAGAAACATCCAATTACCCACAATAATTAAGTATATAAAAAAGGTAGCCAGTGGTTCAAGAAGTTGAAGATAATGAATAATCCAATGAAAGCTATAGGAAATTAAAGGAAAAATAACTACACCCCTACCTCACCCTATAACCATACCTCACACCACTGCAATCAGTTTTCAAATGATGTGGCTATTTTAGAAATTCTTGCCTAGAAAGTAAAGTATGTATTAACTTAAATGCAAAAATGTGTGTTAAATATATATATTTGGAAAAGATTACAAATGTATGAAAACCTAAACACAGAGCTCTACATTGGGTTAAACCATATAAAACTGCCATTTTAGTCAGCTGAAAATGACCAAATATTGGCAATTAGTGTAAGTCAACATAATAAAAGAATTCTGGGAAGACAGTGCAGATGGTAGATTTTAATTTCCTTTAGTTCCCCCATAAAAATAGAACAACTTGGATGACAAAACTCAAACTCCATGAGACATGTTCACAATAAAAACAGGACAAGGTATCTCCATGAACTCCAAAACACAAGAGGTGGGGAAAAAAAGAAATAGTTCTAGACTCCAGCCATAACCCAGACCACACGGTACCTCAGGCCCTGAAGTTATCTATCACCTTTGTATAGGGTAAACAAAGGGAATTAACAGGGTGCCTGATGGGGCTAACTGGACAAATTGCACAATCCCCAAGAGTAGTCATTAGAAAGTTCATTGTTTCTGTTTGAGGACTTCGGCAAAACTGAATTTGATTTTGAAAAAGATTTTGGCACAAATTCATGAGTGAAGTCAAGCAGTTAGCAACAGGTCTGAAGGGGCTGGAGTGGCTTAGGCCTCCAAAACTCTTTAAACTACTAGCCAGAATTCCCTTCCAGGACAAACCTTCACACCACATAGAAATTGCTGGAATGAATCTAACTGGCCAGTAAAAGACAGCAGACGTAAAGGAAAGAGAGGGGCCAGAGAAGGTGGGAGGAGCGCAGCCACAAGATCTCAAAAACTAAGAGACGAGAGTTTTTTAGCACGTCAGAAGAGGGAGCACAAAGACATATACCTCAGCACTTCCCTAACTCTCTCCTTAAAGTTCAAGAAAACAAGCCTCAAGTTTAAAAATGAACAATAGCAAAGGGTTGTGACAGGATCCGACAAGGGGCTATGATAAGCAGAGAGAATATGGAGAATAACCCTCTAGACGATGAAAGCATGTCAGACACAGGCCTACTAAACAGATGAGAGCTGTGGCCCAATTTTCAAAATAAGCTAAAAGAAAGTAAGAAAATCACAGAAAAGGTAAAAGAACAGAACTTAGAATCAGAAAGACAAATGAAGTGAAAGAATACAGAAAATAATTTTAAGTAGAAAATCATTTCTGAACTAAAAACAAACTAGAAACAAGAGCAAATAAAACCGATAATGTCTTGACAGAAATAAGAGGTAAGAAAGTAAGGAAAATTTTATAAATAAATAAAGAAAGAAAGAAAGAAAGAAGAAAAAAGAAAGATTGTGACAGAACAGACAGGCAAAGTAGAACCAAAATACACACAGCAATGGTTCTCAGGAAAGAAAACCAAACCAAGAAAACAGAAAAAAAGTTAAAATATTAAGTTAAGAAATTCACTTGAAATAAAATAAAACGAAATCCTGAAGGAATGTATTGAAAAAGCAGCATATATTCAAAATACCAGAGTGAAAAACCAACCCCAAGTAAAACTAGTAGAATTAAAGAAAAACAACAATCTTTTGGTATCCAGGTTACTAATAAATAAATTTAAAAAGCAAACAAAACAAGGTTCTGATAAGTGGAAAAATCATATTGTCCTCAAACTTTGCAATTTCAATGCTTCATGCCAAAAGACAATGAATAACATACATGAAATGAATTCATGGAAAGAAAATATAAGCCAAAGATTTCATGGTCAGCCAAACAGATTTACAAGTATAAATGCTGCAAACTGTTAGGGAAAATCCAAGAACTCAAGAAACATTGTTTTCATGGGCTCTTACTGAGGAATCTTCTTAGGGAACAAGTGCCAGCCAACCAAAATGACTCAAAGAGACTCTGGCATAAGATCTAAAAATGAGCCTTAAAAAAAAGTTTAAGAAACAATATGTCTAAATCTAAATCAATTTCTCTATCTAAACATACACACATACTGCTGCAGAACTAGGTAACTGTAAGGCAGACACTACTGTCAATAATGGCAATCTGCTTTCACAGATGCAGACAGACTACAACTATCAGACTCCAGGGAGAAAGGGGAGGGTGTATGAAATGTCTTAGCATTTCATAGAAAATAAAAGAAAATTACTTCATATGAGAAGCTGGGAGAAAAAAGTATAATTCCAATACAGCTCAGTTGGGAATGAACAAATAACCAAAAACTGGGGGGTAGGAGGGCAGTAATACATTTATTATATAAGGATATTAATATAATGATAATTTAAGGGATAAAAATAAACCTGTCATATATTAAAAGTAAATAAAGAAAAATACATATACAACCTCATATTAAAAAATGGAAGAATAGAATTTTTTAAAGCTTAACTATCCCTATCAAAGAAGCCAGACTTCTTTGAAAATATATTCTAGATTTTTCTCTTCAAACTAAGTGTTTTACATAATTCTTGCAAGATTAAGTTTAAAAAAGCAATAGCAAGGAAGCTTTCAAAGACCACTCACTAGGGCTGTGAAAAAAGGGCCTAAGCCAACTTTTTATGTCTCCATTGTCAAAAAGACATGACAATGTGACA